TGTCAAAGACGGATCCGGGGTGTCAACCTGCACCAGACGAATCCCTGGTCAGGTCTGGGGATCGATTTCGAGCGGATTCGCCCTCGTCCTGCCGTCCTGACAGATTTTCGCTGGCCCCCATCTAATTCAGACCCCCTGGCCGCCTCCAAGAGTCAAGGGAGGAGAAACCACCCGCACCCGATAATTGGCGTTTACGAAACGGCCTTGGGCGTTGACTATAAGCAGCTCTGCCCTGTTCGATTTCTTCTCTGGGTGCGTTCACAAGACGGCTTCGCGTGGCTGGGTGACTACCGTGAGGGTGGATTTGCTGCTCTCTAAGGGGGCGGGGGACGGGGGACGGAAGAGGGGGCGCGCTGCTGCCTCCCCGACGCGGCCAGCAGCACCCGGAAGCCGTGCGCTTCTACGTGAAGAACGCGGGCGACCTCTCCGAGGACGCCCCCGGTGCGCAGCGCGCGCCCCCCGCGGCACCCGGCCGCAGACGCCGCTGGTCAGGGTGCACGTCAGCAAAGTGCCCGTCGGGGGGGTGCTGTTGGTGGGCCTGTTTTCCACCACCAACACCATCAGTTGGAGGGGGAGGGGGTCCTCCACCTCCTCCTCCTCCTCCTCCTCCTCCTCCTCCTCCTCCTCCTCTTCGTCCCCCTCCTCGTCCTCCTCCTTCCCCCCTCCAACTTGTGGTGGTGGTGGTGGAAAACAGGCCCATCAGCTGTGGGGCGGGGTGACTCGAGTCGTGGGACCCATGCAGGACTGATTTCGATCCCTCGGGTTCGATTCGATTCGACTTCCACGGGTTCCGATTCCGATCCGATCCGACTTCGGATTCCGATTCGAGATCCGATTCGAGCTCCGATGCTAGCCTGCCGATTTCGGCCGATTCGACTGCTCTCGGCTGGGCTGTCGATTTCTACCGATCCGATTTATTCCGATCGCCGATCCGACTCATCGATTCGATCCTGGGCTCTCCTGCCCAGACCTCCGACGTAGTGAGCAAGATCACGACGGAGGGTTTTCGTCGTTCTGGGTATCTGGGGGCCTTCGCCAGGACCACCAGGCAACGCTCGGGTATGAAGCACCGGTCTCTGAGAAGGGATCCGGAGCTCCAGGGGCCCCCCTGTCGAAGTGTGAGAAAGTCATGGCATCGGACGTCTTGGGACGTCTTTGCGTTTCGCTTCTGGACTCCCTTCGGGTCCGGGAGCCCTCAAGCGCGTCCACCACCCCGCTCTTCAGCTCGGGCGTTGCCAGACGTGGTCTTGGCCCAAGCTGCTTTTCAGCTTTTCGCGGCACTGCGGGCCCGGGGACGCTCCCCGCCTCGCAGGGGGGTGTTCTGGAGGCCATCTGTCGGAGGTGGACAGACCTCCTGCCCTGACGCGTCGATCAAGGAATTGGCCGTTTTCGGTTCGCGAGAGGGCGTCGCAGCCGTCATTTTTGCGGGGCCAGGTCCGTCGGTTTCGGGCCTCGGCCGTTTTCACTAAGGAGAGGTTTACCCACCGCCAAATTCGAAGTTTGGGGATGCTTCTGTTGTCAACTTCGGGGCCCCCGTCTGGCCCCGAAGCCCCCGAAAACATCCGTCAGCCCGCCCCTCGGCGACCCAGCATGGTCTTACCGATCCCCGTCCCCCCTGCCTTCTGAGAAGTGTTTGAAGCCTTCCTCGAAGGCAGAAGAAGCTTCTCGGAAGGCGCGAAGGCTTCTGAGAAGTCCCGCCGCTTTCTGAGAAGGCCTTCCCCTTCTCACTTCCCCCTCCTCCTTCCCCCTCCCCCCCTCCTCCTCCTCCTCCTCCTCCTCCTCCTCTCCTCCTCCTCCCCTCCTCGTCCTCCTCCTCCTCCTCCTCTCCCTCCTCCTCCTCCTCCTCCTCCTCCTCTCCTCCTCCTCCTCCTCCTCCTCCTCCTCTTCCTCCTCCTCCTCCTCCTCCTCCTCCTCCTCCTCCTCCTCCTCCTCCCTCCGCTCGCTCGCCGCCGACGTCCCCATCGGGCCACGGTAGCTCAGCTCCACCGTGCCGCTCCCCAGGCTATGGGTGCCTGTTGCAGCAGGGTTGGCCCCCTTTGCATCGCTCAGACGTGTGCCTTGTTCCTTCGGCGAGGACCATCGAGGAGCATCCTTGATAACTTGGCGAAACAACCACGCACGAAACCGAACAAAAAAGCACGGGGAGTGGACGTCCGAGCGATGGCCAGGGGCTCATTTTTTCTTTCCGGCGAGGACCATCGTGAAGCATCTTTGATGCTTTGGCGAAACGGCCACGCACGAAACCGACCAAAAAAGCACGGGGAGTGGAAGTCCGAGCGATGGCCGGGGGCTGGCCCCCGGGAGCGCCGGGGAGGCGTCGGGCCGCTCGGGCCAGAAGGGGCGTCGTCGTCGTCGCCGCCACCGCCGCCGTCGGCGTCGTCGTCGTCGTCGTCGTTGTCTGTCGTCGTCGTCAGGGGGTCGTCGTCGTGGTCGTAAGGGGGTCGTCGTCGTCGTCGTCGTCGTCGTCGTCGTCGTCGTCGTCGTCGTCGTCGTCGTCGTCGTCGTCAGGAGGTCTGAGGTGGCCCAGCACTGACTCGGGCCAGCAGGAAGGGCGGGCAGGTCCGAGTGTCTGGTCTCGGAGCATTTGTCTGCCTTCTCCTGCCTCCGGGGGGCCGCTTTCGGCCCCAAAACGGACCCGGGGTGGAAATTCGCAGGAGATGGGCCCCGGGAGGGGTCCAAGGAGGGATTTTGAGCGGATTGGGCTTCATCCCCCCTTGCTCACCAACTTCCTGGGGCCACAACCGGTTCAGAGAACCCCAGGCCGCCTCCAGGCAGCACTTGGGCTTTTATCGCGCCACGGTGTGCCAGGGAGGTCAGGGTGGCAGGGCTCATTTCGACTCCTCAGATTCGATTCGATTCGATTCGATTCGATTCGATATCGACGACTTCCGATTCCGATTCGATTCGATTTCGGGTTCCGATTTGGGATCCGATCTCTCAATGGAGGCCTACTAGCTTGCCGACGTCTGCCGGCTCGACTTGTTTCGGCTCGGCGGTCGCTTTCAGCCGAGCCGATTCGTGTCGATCGCCGGTTTGACTCGCCGATTCGGTGCTGGGCTCTCCTGGGCTTGGCATCGCTCGGACGCGTGCATTTTTCCTTCGGCGAGGACCATCGAGGCGCATCCTTGATCATTTGGCGAAAGAACCGCGCACGAAACCGAAAAAAAATACAGGGAATGGACGTCCGAGCGATGGCGAGGCCGGTCTGACTTGCCGATTCGATGCTGGGCTCTGCCGGGGTGGCGGAGCAGAACCGACGAGCGAGCATTGCGCGCGTCGGCCGAGCCGGGGGGCGCCGTGGCAGTCGGGGCGAGCGGCACGACGAGCAGGGCGCGGCGGGTGCGCAGCGCGCCCGCAGACGGGCTCGAGGCAGCGAGGCGTGGTCGGCGGCAGGCGTGGCGTCGCCTTCCTGATATACTCAGGTGGCGAGGAGGAGGAGGAGGAGGAGGAGGAGGAGGAGGCAGGGGGAGGAGGGGGAGGAGGGGGAGGAGGAGGAGCAGGAGGAGGAGGAGGGGGAGGAGGAGGAGGAGGAGGAGAAGGAGGAGGAGGAGGAGGAGGAGGAGGAGGAGGAGGAGGAGGTCCCCCTCGTCGCCGCGGTGGGCCGCAGCTCGGGGAGCTGAGGCGTTTGGACCCCCGGAGGGGTCCGGGGACCGCATCTGAGCTGCCGCTGTCTCGATTCGCCCTGCTTCAAGATACAGAGGAGACCCATGCCAAGCAACACCCTGCTTGCCTCCAGGGCGCTCTGGGTTTCTTGGGTTTCGATGGCCTTGCTATGGAAAGCGTGACGTTCCCACACCAAAAATCCATGGACGTCCTGGGGTCTCAGGGTTGGGTTTCTCGTGGAAAATGCCTTGTGGTCGAGCACCTACTTATAGTACGGACTGATTCTGATGCCTGCAGTGCCACCAGGGCCAGCGCAATGACTTGCTTGAGGGGCCCGTGGTGTGTATTTGTGTACGCCGCCTCGCGCCAGAATGTTGGTTCCGCTTCTCCTGCCCGGCTAGTGCTGGTTGAGAGGGGCGGAGGGACGCAGGGGAACCAGGGAGAGGTTCGGGCGGGCGGTAATGTAGGGCGACAGAATCTATCCACTGCTCCCCCGCCAGGTCCATCCTGAACCCAGCAGCGGTGCATACGCCACGCCCTCCTGGCCTGGCCAGGAGGGCGTACACACAGCTCCTGGGTTCAGGATGGGCCTGGCCAGGGAGCAGTGGATATGTGTAGACTTCGTCGCCCTATACTTGGTGGGTGACCCATATGGGGGGTGGAGGGAAAGGCCTTCCAAAGGATCCTTGAGGGCTCCTTCTGGAGCCTGCCGGTGCCCAACAGGGGCCCTGAAGGGCCCCGTTGGGGTCCCTTTCTTCACCCCCCATTTGGGTCACCCCCCATTACCGCCCGCCCGAGAGGGGGTGGTAATGGGGGAGGGGATGTAGGGGGCGAGGGATGGGGATGTGTGGGGAGGTGGGGCGAGGGGCGGGGGGCAAGCCAGGTGCTAGGTGCGCAAGCGCCATGTCTGACGTCCTACCCCTCCGTCCCATTTTTCTTACCACTGCGTCGATCTTCCTTCTGTCCGTACAGTCAGATGTCGAACAGGACAATGGTCTCGAGAGAATACGCGGCTCATGGTATAGCACGGCATGGTATAGCATCGCGTCGAGAACGCGACTCATGTCGACAGCAAGGTCAGAGGGAAACCACAAACGGACGATTTGGAAAGAGGAATGGGAAGTTCTGGGCCAAGAAGGGGTTTGGCAGTGTCTGAGGCGGTTGGTAGAGACGCTCATTCGGCGAAGGACATGCTCAGAATGCACTTCGCCCTCTTCGGCAACGTCAGTGAGATGAATGTGCTCATGGACAAGAAGAAAAAGAAGCCGTGGCCTCAGTAAGAAGACCCGCGTTGGGGTGCCCAGCATCCATCCCTGGGGCCGCGAGTGAGCAGCCAGTCTAGGCACACATGATTCAGTTGGATTCTCGCACGCTTGGACGCGCGTGTGTGCTATGGCCTGGTCGTAGACTTGGGGCGTTCTCGTCGCCGGAGGGCGAGGGGACTGGGTGTGGATCCCGATTCCATTGGTTGACCGATGGCCTGCGTGTTCGTTCCCCGTGGCCTCATGTGTGGCAATATTTGGGGCTGAATTGGCCGTACTGGGAGGTCGGAAGGCTGAAACGGCGGTAGCGCCAACCTCTTTCGCACACCCAACTCGTGTGACGATTTGAAGGCTATCTTGATGTTTTCCAACGCCGTGGAAAGGTGCCGACATTATTCACGAGCAGGAGGAGCACGCAAGCTTGGACCTAAGTCGTCGTTCAGAGGCGCATGGAGCACATGTGAACACAGCACGCATTACGTTCCTGCTTTCCAGTGCGGCCCAGCCGGTGATGGGCTTCATTCGGAGGCATGTTCCAGTGACTGTGCGTCCCGATGGTTCGAGTACATGCCAGGTGGGCTGTGTGTGTGTGCCCTCGGCTGTGCCAGTTTGTCTGCTCGGCGCTTCGCACATCCCCGCCGGCCCACCCAGAAGCGATGCCCAGGCGAGTTGCTTGGATCAGGGAAGTGTTGGAGCCAGCGGGGGCACGAAGAGGGGGACAGCCGTCAAACCGAAGTTCGGGATCAGCCTGACCGCCTGGCCAGACCTGTTTGACCAAGAAGTCGAGCATCTATGCCGTCCCGGATCGTTCGGGATGTGAGCTGCTTGGCTGCGTGCGTCGGCCATCTCGGAGCCCTCTTGTGGTCATTTCGGATGCATGCGAGACTCTCTTGGCTCTTGGCGCCCTTTTGGGGCTACCTTGTGACCCTCTTGGAGGTATTGGGGTCCCTCGTGGGGCCAGGATGGGTCCAAACTAGATTTAGGGATCGCCCTCCCGTCAGAGCGCTATCATATGTAAACCGCTCGCGTTGGGGCTTTCTCAGGGCGCTCTTGCGGCCACCTTGGAGCCGCATTGGGCCCCGTCTGGGGCTTTCTTGGGCGATCGCGGAGCCATCTGGCGGCCTCAAAAGCCGGTCGAAAACGAACATGGGAGAATTCCAACACGACTGTGTTGTATTCCTGTGGGCGGAATCTGGCCTCTCACAGGCATCCCTGGGAGGCTCCATGGCCACTTAGAGCCGTCTTAGGGTTGTATCGGGACATCGCGGATGCATGTTGGAGGATATCGTGGGCCATTTTGTACCAGATTGCGCGATATTGCAGGCCACATTGCGCTATTTGAAGACAGTCGGGAGCCAAAATTGCTCAGCAGCCTCCTAAGGATGCACTCCACATGCTACAATCTAAGGGCTTTACATGCTTTTATCATTAGGCGATGGGGGGGGGTTCTTAATGTCATCCCGCCCCCCCGCTGGAGCCAGAACCGTCACCTTTTGGGGCTCTCTTGGGGTACTCTTGGGCGCTCTTGGGGTTGTCTTGGATGGAAGGTCGGGAGGGCAACACCCATTGATGTTCTTTAGGCATTGGGAGTTGTTGGCCTCTCAGGGACGTCCTTGGGAGGCTCCGTGGCCACTTGGAGCCGTTTGAGGGCGGCCCTGGGGCTGATTGGAGGCATGGTGGATGCTATCTTGGGCTATCTTGTGCCACCTTGGAGGACATCTGGGGTCACCTTGAGGCAAGAAAAGGACCCTCTGACGTCTCCCCGGGGAGGGATCCAGACCCAGGAGAGGGGTATGGAAGGGAACGAGACAGCTCTCCCAGACGCGAACGGTGCGGCTCACTCCCACCCGCCCTCCCAGCACATAAAGTACTGCCCGAGCTCTGGATGGACAGCCACAGGGAACCAATGCAGGCCCCCGGTGCGCGAAGCCGGGGCGAGGCGCCACGTGTGCCAGGCGCGCCACGGGCACCATGCGCGCCCCTGGGGCCCAAGCGTGCCAGGCACGCCTCGCGCGCCAGGTGTGCCACGCGCTCCACGTGCGCCAAGTATGCTTCGTGTAGGGGGCCACTTGCGAACCCTACCCCTACCCCCCACGATTTCTGAGGGGGTGGGTGAGGTTCACTTCGCTCGGGAGCTCCCGAGCGAAGTGAACCCCACCCTCCCCTCAGAAATCGTGGGGGGTAGGGGTAGGGTTCGCAAGTGGCCCCCTATCGTGCTCAGCCGCGCCAGGTCCGCCACGTTCGGGGCAGTCGCAGAGTGTGCCAGGTGCGCCCGCGCACATCGGGAAGCATGTCGGCCATCACCATCCTTGCCGAAAACTAGTGCCAAGTCGCGGCGGAGTAGTCATCATGACGCTTGGTGGGCCTGCACCCAGCGGACAATGTGCCAGCACCCCCGCCGTTCCTGTCAACAGCCAATGCAAAGTGATCGCGGGGCGCCCGCGCATGATCCAGATTTTGAAGCGAACTTCATTGTGTATGGTGGTTTCAACAGGGACGGTGGCCTTGCGCGCAGCAGGCCATACGCTGGCACCCCCGCCGCCCCTCTCAACGAGCAACACAACGTGCTCGCGGGCTCCAGACATGACCCAATACTCTGCCGCAGCATGCACTCCGCATGGCTTTTGGGGGCTTTTTGACCGGGGTGGTGGGTGGGTGATGGCATTGCCCCTGTTGTGTGGCCGGTCGGGTGGGGGGCGGGTCGTACATCATGACGCAGCAGCGATCAGGCTCCCAGCGAAAGCGCCGCAGGATGTTTCTCTCGCGCCCACCCGCCCTCCCACTGCATGAGTAGCACCCGAGTCTCAGCACAGACAGGGGCCGCTATCGACAGCCATCGGGAGCGATTGCAGACGCCATCCAGCCCCGCCAGCCATATCTCCGCACCTCGCCGATCCGCGCCCGCCTCCTTCGTGCCCACCACGAGGCGAGGGCCCCAGAGAGCTGGAGACACTGTTTGGAGGTTGAGGTGGCCCAGCACTGGTTCCAGCCAGCAGAAATGTCCCTCCTCTCCTCCTCCTCCTCCTCCTCCTCCTCCTCCTCCTCCTCCTCCTCCTCCTCCTCCTCCTCCTCCTCCGCTCCTCCTCCTCCTCCTCCTCCTCCTCCTCCTCCTCCTCCCCCCACTCCTCCCCTCCTCCTCCCCCCCTCCTCCTCCTCGTCCTCCTCCCCCCCTCCTCCCCTCCTCCTCGTCCTCCTCCCCCTCCTCCTCCTCACCCTCCTCCTCTTCCACACACCCAACTCCTAAAACATCAAACTCTGCTTCTGCATCGACTGGCCCCTAGTCGCCACGGCTGGACGCGGCTAAAACTTGCTTCGGCTCCAGGACGGGTCCTGATGCCAATCTTGAGCGGATTTGCCATTGTGCCCCACCCCCCTTTCTTGACAGACTTTCTTGGAGCCCATCCGGCGGGCGCACATCCCCTGGCCGCTTCAAACCAGAGAGTCGTGCGGGAGAATGCGAGAGCAGCCAGGTCGCGGGGCATGGCCTACGTGACGATAGCGCCCACGGGGTACTACCAGGGCAAGAGGAACACCAGGAAGACGCTCCTGGACGCCAGGGGGGGGGATCCTCAGGAGCATGAGAACGACGTACACGTCCGTGAGTCCACGCCGACTTCGAGAGGTGCGCCCTGCGCGAGCGTTCGTATCACGAGCCTGGTCTCGCGGGCTGGGGGACCGCGTTCGTGCACGAGGGTTGGGCGCGTACGCCTTTCTGTGGAGTCTCCTTAACCTCCCTGCCGCTCGAAGAACAGACAGACGGCAGGAACGGAAGTTCCTGGAGATCCGCGCGGATTTCTCGCATCGGCGCCGGGCCCGCGGGGGGGGGCCCTTCTGGACGCTCGAAGAACAGACGCACTGCGGGACAGTAATCTCTCTGAGCGCTCCGCGCGGCTGTCTCGAATCAGCCGGCGGGGGGAAGGGGCTCGTTTCGATTCGACTCGATTTCGGATTGGCCTATTCGATTTCGGATTTCACTTTCGGAACCGATTTCGGATTTCGATTTCGGAACCCATTTAGATTCGACTCGATTTCGGATTTCGGTTTCGGAACCAGTTTCTCAATGGACGCCTATTGGCCTGCTATTCGATTTCGGATTTCGCTTTCGGAACCGATTTCGGATTTCGATTTCGGAACCCATTTAGATTCGACTCGATTTCGGATTTCGGTTTCGGAACCAGTTTCTCAATGGACGCCTATTGGCCTGCCGACGTCCGCCGGCTCGGCCCTCCCGACTCGGCTGCCGATGGCCGCCGATCCGACTCCTTTCGATCGCCGATCCGACTCGATCTGGGCTCTCTGGGGGGGGGGGGGGGGGGGGGCACGTGCGAACCCTGCCCTACCCCCACGATTTCTGAGGGGGAGGGCGATTTCAAGTGAACCCCACCCTCCCCCTCAGAAATCGTGGGGGCAGGGGCAGGGTTCGCACGTGGCCCCCCTACCTCTGGGGGGGGGGGGGGCCCTCCCCGACGCTCGAAGAACACAGACGCACAGCGGCGAGAATCCTCACTCCGCGCGCGGCTTCTTCGCGCACTGGGCGGTGCTGGGCCCGCCCGCCCCCCCACGGCGCGCTCTCCGCGCGCGCGCCACAAGGAGGGGGCCTGTCCTGCGCCTCCCAGAAGGGGGGGGGACCTCATAGAGCAGACGCACTGCGGAGAGAATCATCGCTCCGAGCACTCCGCGCGCGGCTTTTTCGCGCACTGGGCGGTGCTGGGCCCGCCGCCCCCACGGCGCGCGCTCCGCGCGCGCGCCACACGGAGGGGAGGAGGAGGGGGAGGGGGAGGGGGAGGGGGAGGAGGAGGAGGAGGAGGAGGTAGGAGGAGGAGGAAGGAGGAGGAGGAGGAGGAGGAGGAGGAGGAGGAGGAGGAGGGAGGAGGAGGGAGGGGGGCTCGTCCTGCGCCGGTCCCCGTGGCTCCCCGCGCGGGCCTCCGAGAGATTGTTGCGCTTCTGATCAGGCAGGGGCGAAGCGCCTTGGCTCGCCTGCAGCGGGCCGGGCGAAAGGGGGGGGATTGGGAAGGTCGCCCATCCTTATCATGCGGGTTGGCTGTAAGGAGCGCTGAAAATCAAGAGCGAGGCTCCTTCCTGGCACCAGGAGTGCCTGGGTGCACGAGGAGGGCCAGGGGAACCATCGCGGAGTGCCTTCAGGAGACAGCGAGCCCCTCTCGTTCCCAAGCGGCTCCTTAATCCAGCGTCGTGACTGCAGAGTCTCTATTCCCTGGCGCGGAGATCCCGAGCGGGATCCGGGCGAAATTTGCTGCATGCAGTTGGTTTCGGCCCCGCCGCCAGGCCCAGTCCTCGATGCATAGCCGCCTCTGGCGCCGGGAGGCGCCAGGAAAATCAGCTGCGCTAGCTGATTCTCAAACCCCCCCTTTGCTATCCCCTCCTTTCGCCCGACCCGACTACAGCCCCACCCAACAATGTTCTAAGAACCTTTTGTGGTTTCCACGAAGTGTTCTTAGAACAGTTCTGGCGGAGTCTGTCTTGTCTGAACACATCGGGCTTCTGTTCTAAGAATATTGTGTTTGTTCTTAGAACATTTTTGGGTTCAAAGAACATGTCGTGGTAGGACTATAGGAATGCCGGGACGGTCCGTCCCTGCTAAATTCTGGCGTTTCTTGTTCCTCTCAGTTTCCAGGCCTCTTATCCGCAGGCGATGTGTGTGCACCGTACCGCGGTGGCTCCTCTCGTGGCGTCGTCGATTGCGAAGGCCTTACGGCCGATGCCGCCGACCCTGGAGACAGCGTTCTGTCATTGGGGAGACATAACAACGCAACAGGAAGAATGCTCAGTGTGGGAGAAGCGCATTGCCGACGAGGGGGAGGGTGGGAGGCCCAAGAAAACACACGGGAGCCTCTTGGGGCCTCTTTGGGCTTCCTGGGGGGCCTCTTGGGAGCTTCTCGGGGCTGAGGGCTCGAAATGTCCGTTCGGGTCCCCCGTCTGGGCACTCTCTTGGAACCGTTTTGGGGGCCTTTTGTGCATCTGGGAGGCGTCTTGGGCCGTCTTGGGGCACTTTTGGTCCGTTTGGGGACCCTCTTGGAGACCTCTTGGGCCGTGTCGGGGCGATCTTGGGTGCCTCTTGGGCCGTCTTGGCGCGTGGGGAAGCGGAAGAGGTGAGAACGCCAAAATCCTTGAAAAACGCATTGGAAATCCATGATTTGTGCCTCTTGGGGCTCTCGTGGGAACGGTCCTGGAGGCCTCTGGGGGCGTCTCGCAGGCCTCTTGGGCCGTCTGGAGGCCGTCAAGGCGTCTTGGACAGATCATTCGGCGATTCGGGGCCCTCTTGGATCATATTTGGGGCCTCTTGGGGCACTCTTGGCCAGTCTTGGGGCCTTTTTGGGCTCCGGGATTCCCCGGGAGGGCGGCGTATAAACCCGGGACCCCCCCGGGAGTTACCCCGGGACAACCCCCCCCCCCTTCCCCGGGAAGGGATCAAAGGCAAGGGGCTTCCCTTCGACTCAAGTGCGACGCTCTTCAACCTCGCCTTGGACTGGCGCGACTCAGAAGGAGGCCTTGGGAGAGGGGTAGAAGCAACGACGCTGCGGGGAAAGAAGAAGGAACATCGACGACGACGAAGAGGGAGCAGACGGAGAAGCCTCTTCCACACGCCGACAGGGTCGGCGGATTTGTCGACCCAGGAATGGTATGATGCATGGTTTTGCGACCTCCAGAGACGAACAAACTATGCACCGTACCGCGATGGAGCGTGGCCTGAGCGGAGTCCAGGCATAGTACGGTGCATGGGCGGCATTCTCGTATCCTATATGGGCTCAGAGTAGATGGGATCAGAGGGTCGCGCCGCATCGCCTATGCATCGCCGATTTGCTTCGCGTCGACGTCGCCGATGCATCGCCGACGTCGACGATACATCGCCGGTGCATCGCCGGTGCATCGCCGGTGCATCGCCGATGTATCACCGATGTGGCGCGATGCTCCGACCCCATCTATTCTGACCTCATCTGGGAGTCTTCTACATAGACGCCTCGCCCATTCGCGGGCAATGAACCCTCTCCGTCCTCAACGGCACGGCGCGCACGGCAGCCGAAATGTCAATTAGAGCCAGTAGACGCGACATTCGGGGGCGTCCAAGAGGGGGTGATTTCGATGGGCGGATATCATCGCCGTTGCCACGATGTCTCCCCAGACCTGATGGCCCTCTCTTTTCTTTCAATCTGTCCCCTGCCCGCCCCCCCCCCCAGGCCGCACACATGCTTCAGGCCATGATTTCCGCGCCCCCTCTTGGACGCCCCCCTCTTGGACGTCCCCGAGACCTCTTGGACGCTGCGGGAGGCGGATGGGGGGAAGAGCGTACGAATGGACGCTGCCGGTGCTGATTGCGATTGTGATGATGATGATGATGATGATGATGATGATGATGATGATGATGATGATGATGATGATGATGATGATGATGATCATGATGATGATCATGATGATGGTGGTTGTGATGATGATGATGTTGATGTTGGTTTTGTTGTTATTGTTGGTGTTGACGGTGTTCATGATGACGATTATGATGCTGATGATGATTGTTGATGATGATGTCCGTGCTGCTGGTGAGTTGGTGATGATAAAGATGTTGTTGCTGATGATGCTGATGATGGTGACTCGGAGGACGATGCGGATGACGACTGCAATGATCAATAATGGCGTTGGTGTTGCTGTTTATGGTGATGGTGGTGCTGATACCAACGATGATACCGATGAACGTGATGCTGATCTGGTGAGTGATGCTGACGATGCTGATGATGAAGATGATGATCATGATCATGATCATGATGATGATGATGATGATGATGATGACTCTGTTTAAGCTGATGCTGATGCTGATGCTGATGATGTTGGTGTTGATGCTGCTGCTGATGATGGTGGTGGTGAAGCTGATGATGCTGATGATGATGACGAAGATGATGATGATGATGATGATGATGATGATGATGATGATGATGATGATAATGATGATGATTATGATGATAATGATGATGATGATGACGACGATGACGATGATGATGATGATGATGATGATGTCGATGATGATGATGATGACGATTATCATGATGATGATGAACCCGCTGATGATTATGACGACGACGAGGCTGATGATGATGGTGATGGTTTGGGTGATGGTGCTGGTGCTGGTGCCGGTGCTGATTGTGATGGTGGAAATGATGATGAATGTGATGGGGATGACGGTGGTGGTGGTGATGCTGTTGATGCTGATGTTGTTGGTGCTGTTGATGTTGATCATGGTGATGATTGCTGATGGTGATGTCATGACGAAGATAGGTAATCATAGTGATGATGAGGACAACGATGATCATGGTGAATGATGCTGACGATGATGATGATGACGATGATGACGATGATCATGATGATGATGAAGATGACGACGATGATGATGATTATGATACTGATTATGATTATGATTATGACTACGACGATGCTGCTTCCGATGACGGTCACGATCATGATGACGATGACAATGGTGATGATGATGGTGGTGATGGTGATGATTATGGTGATGGTGGTTGTAATGGCGATGGCGATGGTGATGGTGGTGATGATGCTGGTGATGGTGATTGTGATGGTGATGGTGCTAATGATGAAGATGCTGATGCTGATTATGATGATGCTTCTGATGATACTTCTGATCATGATGATGATAATCATGATGATGACGATGATGACGATGACGATGACGATGATGATGATGATGATGATGATGATGATGATGATGATGATGATGATGATGATGATGATGATGATGATAATGATAATGATGATGATGATTATGATGATGATGATGATGGTGGTGGTGGTGGTGATAAAGATGCTAATGATGATGATGGTCATCATTCTCATGCTGATTCGCATTCTGATCAGGATCCTTGTAATCATGGGGGACCATATTGAAGTAAACATGATGCTGAGCGTGATAAGCATGATGAGCACGATGACGATGACGAGGATGGCGGCATGCGGAGCAGGGGCAAGGAGAGGAGCACGAGAGGGGCAGCGGGAGGCAGGAGTGGACGCGGGGCGCTGTCTCTTCAAAACGCGTACCCAATAAAAAGCAGGATAGTTGGCAAAACGCGACGTCGGAGTCGGGGGGGTCCCCCCCCCCGGGAGACTGGCGGCAGGACTGGATGCTGGGCCCCGACGCTGGCCACACCGTCGCGGGGTACGAGCTGGAGGCGCCCCCGCCGCCCCGCCGGCCCGCCCCCCGCCTGCTTCGATGCGATGCGATTCGCCGGCGGGGGCCGCGATGCCGACTCGACTCCTTGGCATCGCTCGGACGTGTGCATTTTTCCCTCGGCGGGGGCCATCGAGGAACAGCCTTGATCATTTCGCGAAACAGCCAGGCACGAAACCGAATAAAAACAGGGAATGGACGTCCGAGCGATGGCCAGACTCGGCCCGGGGCCAGCCAGAGCCAGGCGCGGCGGTCCGATGCGTTCCCGATCCCACTCGATGTGGCGATGCGGCCCGGCTCGGGCCTGCCTGCTCACGGGGGCTGCTGCGACTCCTCCTCACGCCCGCCGAGGGGCCCGGGGGGGCCAGGCCTCCCAGGTGGGGTCCGAGGCTGAGGAGACAGCGTCCGCGGATCGTGCCGCATCGCCGAGGCACCGCCGGAGCGGCGCGATGCGGAGCCCGGTTTGCTCCACGCCGACGTCGCCGATGCGTCGGCGACGCATCGGCGATGCATAGGCGATCCTCCGACCCCACCCAGTCGGACCCCTTCCAGGAGGCCTCTGGAGGGGGGGGGGGGGAGAGCAGGAGGGCCCCCCGGGCGGAGGGCGGAGAGCGGCGAGCTGGAGGCGTGCCCCGGCCCCGCCCCCTATACCTGCGGAGGCGCGGCTCCAGCCCGACGGTGCTCCAAGGCGCGAGCCCCGGAGTCCGAGCGAGGAGGCACGGCGCGCAACGGCGAGTCGCTCAGGGTCCTCTGCAGGAGGGGGGTCCCAAAAGTGGTGCAGCAAGAGTCTGGGGGCGAGGTTTCGTGCTCTCTTGGCCATCTTGGATTTGTGGGCCACGTGCAATTTCTCGTCCAAGATCCGCCTGTAGGAGGACATGCCCGACCTAAACATTAAGATACGTTGTTGGAGCTCCGCGCGGATATTCTTGGATGGGCGCTGGACCCCCTCGGCGGCACCTCTGGCGCCGCCCCTGGCGCTCTCCGTGCGCCAGGGAGGGGCTCCAGCGCCGATCCAAGAGTATCCGCGCGGAGCTCCAGCAGTTTATCTTCATGTCGTGCTCTCATGTTCGAATGACGGGCTCGCGCCTCCGAAGAGTCATGCTTCTGTTTATGGCTGTGTAGTTTTTCTTTCTCTTGGTGGGGCGGTCCGCCCTCAAAACCCTTGTCGTAGCACCCAGCCAGTCGACTTCGCGATGCGGCCCAGCTCAGGCCGGCCTGCTCCGGGGGCTGCTGCGACTCTCCTTACTTCTCGGGGGGTGCTGAAGGTGCCCCTGGCCCAAGGTGCCCCCAGCTTTTCGCTCGATTTTGGAGCCCCTGGGGCCCTCTGGGTCTGGAGGCCGCGGGAGCTTCCCTGGGCCAGGGGCATCTCTGGCAGCACCCGACCTTTCGTCGAGGGGCCCGAGGGGGGAGAGGAGGAGGACCCCGAGCTGCACCCCGCTGCCGTGCCTCCCCCCCCCGCCCCCGGTCAGCGCCGCGGGATGCATTTCTGGCCACCCCCCCCCAGGGGGCGCCGTGGGGGCGCTGCCGTCGCCGCGCCCCTTTCTCCCCCCCCCTTCGGGCGGCGGGCGCGGCTCGGAGGGCCCCGGTCAGGGGATGTCCGAGGCAGAGCTGGGGGTGGTGCTTCGACGAGGAGGAGGAGGAGGAGGAGGAGGAGGAGGAGGAGAGGAGGAGAGGAAGGAGGAGGGGGAGGAGGAGGAGAGGAGGAGGAGGGAGGAAGAAGGGGGGGGGAGGAGGAGGAGGGGGAGAGGAGGAGGGAGGAGAGGAGGAGGAGGAGGAGGAGGAGGAGGAGGGAGGAGGAGGAGGAGGAGGAGAGAGAGGGAGGAGGAGGAGGAGGAGGAGGAGGGAGGAGGAGGAGGAGGGGGAGGAGGGGAGGAGAGAGGAGGAGGAGGAGGAGGAGAGGAGGAGGGGGAGGGGGGGGTGGAGGAGGAGGGGGGGAGCAGAGCAGAGCAGATCCTCATGGAGTCCCTGTCAAGCAACCGACTATGAGCCCGTATTATCCCGGCAAAGCAACCTAACAGCGATGTGTAGGAGCATATCTGGAAACATTCCCCTTAAGATTCAGATGAGAATCCTGTTGTAGAATTCTGCTGTTCTCGCAGTCGTAGTCGCATTCGCGATGGCAGTCGCAGTGGCAACGGCAGTCGCAGTCACAGCCTCAGCCTCAGCCTGCCTCAGCCTCAGCCTCAGCCTGCCTCAGCCTCAGCCTGCCTCAGCCTCAGCCTCAGCCTGCTTCAGCCTCACATCAGTCTGCCTTCAGCCTCGGCCTCAGCCTCAGCCTGCCTCAGCCTCACCCTGCATCAGCCTCAGCCTCAGCCTCAGCCTGCCTCAGCATCAGCCTGCCTCAGCCTCAGCCTCAGCCTCAGCCTGCCTCAGCCTCAGCCTGCCTCAGCTCTGCCTCAGTCTGCCTTCAGCCTCGGCCTCAGCCTCAGCCTGCCTCAGCCTCAGCCTGCATCAGCCTCAGCCTCAGCCTCAGCCTGCCTCAGCATCAGCCTGCTTCAGCCTCAGCCTCAGCCTGCCTCAGCCTCAGCCTCAGTCTGCTTCAGCCTCAGCCTCAGTCTGCCTTCAGCCTCGGCCTCAGCCTCAGCCTGCCTCAGCCTCAGCCATCAGCCTCAGCCTCAGCCTCAGCCTGCCTCAGCATCAGCCTGCCTCAGCCTCAGCCTCAGCCTGCCTCAGCCTCAGCCTCAGCCTGCTTCAGCCTCAGCCTCAGTCTGCCTTCAGCCTCGCCTCAGCCTCAGCCTGCCTATCCTCAGCCTGCCTCAGCATCAGCCTGCTCAGCCTGCCTCAGCCTCACCTCAGCCTCAGCCTCAGCCTGCCTCAGCATCAGCCTTCACCTGCCTCAGTCTCAGCCTCAGCCTCATCCTGCCTCAGCCTCAGCCTGCTTCAGCCTCAGCCTCAGTCTGCCTTCAGCCTCGGCCTCAGCCTCAGCCTGCCTCAGCCTCAGCCTGCATCAGCCTCAGCCTCAGCCTCAGCCTGCCTCAGCATCAGCCTGCCTCAGCCTCAGCCTCAGCCTGCCTCAGCCTCAGCCTCAGCCTGCTTCAGCCTCAGCCTCAGTCTGCCTTCAGCCTCGGCCTCAGCCTCAGCCTGCCTCAGCCTCAGCCTGCATCAGCCTCAGCCTCAGCCTCAGCCTGCCTCAGCATCAGCCTGCCTCAGCCTCAGCCTCAGCCTGCCTCAGCCTCAGCCTCAGCCTGCTTCAGCCTCAGCCTCAGTCTGCCTTCAGCCTCGGCCTCAGCCTCAGCCTGCCTCAGCCTCAGCCTGCATCAGCCTCAGCCTCAGCCTCAGCCTGCCTCAGCATCAGCCTGCCTCAGCCTCAGCCTCAGCCTGCCTCAGCCTCAGCCTCAGTCTGCTTCAGCCTCAGCCTCAGTCTGCCTTCAGCCTCGGCCTCAGCCTCAGCCTGCCTCAGCCTCAGCCTGCCTCAGCCTCAGCATCAGCCTGCCTCAGCATTCAAAGTGTGGCCCGGGAATGAAGTTCTGGGAACTCGAAGAATACGAAGTGGCCTACAGCTGGCTCCGGGCATTCAAAATCATGCCCAGGAATGGAGTTCTGGGAACTCGAAGACCACGAAGTGGCTTACAGTTGGCTCCGGGCATTCAAAATATGGCCCGGGAATTGAGTTCTGGGACCTGGAAGAGCACGAAGTGGCCTACAGTTGGCTCCGGGCATTCAAAATGTGGCCCGGGAATGGAGTTCTGGGACCTCGAAGACCACGAAGTGGCCTACAGTTGGCTCCGGGCATTCAGAATGTGGCCCGGGAATGGAGTTCTGGGAAGTCGAAGAGCACGAAGTGGCCTACAGCTCCGGGCATTCAAAATGTGGCCCGGGAATGGAGTTCTGGGAGGTCGAAGAGCACGAAGTGTGTGACTGTTTGCTTAAAACGAGCCCGGTTCTCGCCTGTCCGGCTCCCGCCCAGACCCCCCTGGGGAGTCATCAGATGCTTTCTTTTGACCCCATTAGAAACCTATCAGTCTTCGCTGTTAGGTAAAAAACTTGACTGTACTCTGAGAGGGTTCCTTCGAAACCAGACGACTACCGATGCGAGCCCCTCTCAGGCCCACAGCACAGACTGCACTGGCCGATGGGCGCCCCTATAGGCACACCGCCCTCAAAGGGGGCCCATACATCAGGCGCGGCGACCGCGTCCTTTCCCCCGCCCACCAGAGCTCGCCCCCCGCCCCCCCATCCCTTGGGTGCGGCCGCCTCTGCCACGATTCGAAGGCATATTATTTCCAGGCATCTCAGGAGCGGATGTCGCTGCGAAACCTTCTGTGAGACTAGCTGGGGGCCTATTTACTGCCCGAGCTATTTGTTCATGTGTTAAACTTCCTGCTGCTACCAATGCTGCTAACCTTTCACTACTTGCCAACATCGGGAGTGTGCTAGCTCAAATCTCACGACTGGCACTGTCATTCACACTGCTATTGCTGGCACAGGCTGGCGGGGAGGCGCCTCCTCGAACTCATCACCCAGGGGTTGGGATGAACTCACGACGTCGCGTCCTTCCGATCCAGGAACTTCAATGTCTCTTTCTCTAGCTGCCCCCTCGGCGCCGCCTCTGAGACGAAGGAGCCCCCCTCCACCACCACAAGCGTCTCGATCCTCAGGCCGATCACTGAACCCAGCGAGTGGTGGAGGTCCGTTTTGAACAGGAATGTAGCTCTCAGGCCCTCCACTTTGCGATGCACCCGCACACGAAAGTACTGGACACCGCGGGAAATATCTAGCAACCTTGAGATTCTCCGCCCTCTCGCATCGTGCTGGATTCCCTTCCTCCGCCACTGCCTTGGTTGCTCCCCACTCCCACACTGCCATATTTTGAATGCGAAGTGCGGCGCGTGACTTGTAGTTCGCCATCTCTGCAGCGTCGGTGCGTTTCTTCCTCCTAAGGAATTGGGATCTTTGTACCAAGCAGGTTTCTGCAGAGCCTCTGCTCCCATGGTGAAAGCCGTGTACGTCAGTGGTAACAGTACGAGAGGTCGAGACGAAAGGCACAAGCAGGACGGGCAGATGGCTTCGGAGATGGCGACAGAGAGATAACGTGTCCACTCCCACGAAGTCACAGCATAGGCATTCATAAGACGATGGGGTAATCAGTGGGCACAACGTGCGGGGTCCACACGTAAAACAGTTGCCTTTTTCTGTAGAGAGCGTAATACAAGTCGAGCTGCAGTAATTTGCGTTGCATCTGTCTGTAAGCAGTGTATACACACGCTGCTTGGCGTAAGTACATGAGCTAGGTTGCGTAAAGTATGACAATGTCGTAGATGTTCGAGTGACTTGTTTCGGGTACTGAATGCACTCCTGACAAGGCTCCCCATTGAGATCCATTGGGCACACAAAGGGTAAATCCACTTCTGTATGTTCTTCGGGACCCTCACGAGATACCTCTGGGGGAGCATAGCCTGGAGGGGGATACTTACCGATAATACTTGACTACGAAGGTCGTTCATATCCACTCTCCGAAAGTCCTCTGAGGCCTCCAAGTCGTTAAGTAGACGCAGGTCGTTTGCAACATCTCGCACTCCCTCGTAGGGAAGAAGCCTGGCGACGCGATCAAGATCTGAAGCAACTTGTTTTGCCCATGGCGAAGAATAGAAATTAGACCGGCCGCCTGTTCCAGCAGAGGTCGCATACATTCCATTGGAGAAGAACCAAACAGTGCACATAAAATCTGAGTGTGCTCCTCAGGATGCGCACCCCGCGATTGATACACTTAACTCGGCGATTCAAAAGCTCCAGCGAGGAGGGAACCAACTTCCAATGAGTGAGCACTTGTTTGTTGGATAGTGTGTTTACCTGCAGCCCGTCGCAAGAGGTAGCTTTACCTAACATAGCTATACGCCCAAGACGTGCCAGACAGCCATCAAGCATAGTAGTGTCCGTCTCCGTGACCACGAAACTCTCGAGTCCACTCAAGAGATCATTCTGAACGAACCCGATGAAGAGACTACGTTTCCACTTTTTCGGGATCCCCAGACCCCACGCCTTGCCCAGTGAAAAAAAGCCAGAGCACGCCGCCGAACATCTCCTGGAAATCTCAGACCTAGCCGAAACGCCTAGCTGTAGGTAAGGCCCAAGATATCTCGCTTCTTCCTTGATGGAGCCCTGGAGGAGAGTGGGGTCTTGGCGGAGCAAGTGCCGACACTGACAGCCGCGTGCAGCGAAACACATCAGGTACTCTTGTTTGGTGCTGTTCTGGCCATAGCCGAAATTCGCAAGAAAAGAATCCAATCTGGCATCGACCTCTGCAATCTTAGTCGTGAAATCCTTCAGCGACATCTGCGGATCAGCCAGCGCAAAACTATTGATATCATCCGCAAATTTGTACGTGCTCAGGTCGGGTTGGAGTCCTTGCCACGATGCTCGCAATCGCTTAGATTGCACATCAGCTCTGGACTCGCCATGCCTCCAGGACAAAAATGGACGTGCGAAAGTACCTACAAACGCTCGGACAGCGAATGGATCCCCCATCGTGTTCCCCTGTGTAGGTCGACATCCCTTTTGTCAACATTCTTACATGGGATTCCTTGACGACTCCTCCTTCCAGATTCCTTGCATCGGATTCCTTCTAATGTTCCTTATTACGCGGATTCCTTAGTGAAGAGTTTTTAGTGAGGATTCTTTGGTGCAGGCTCCTGACTAAGGATTCTGGAGTACAAACTCTTTACTAAGAGTTCCTCAACCATCATACTTTGGTAAATATTCCGGCGTAAAAGGTCCTAATTGAGGATTCTGGTGTAAAGGCTCTTCATGCATGATCTTGTATTCAAGGGTTTTCATCCAGGACTCCTGAATGAAGTTTGTTTTTTGGTTGGAGTTTCTTTGAGTAATTATTTCATTAAAGAGTCCGAAGTAAAACATATGTTACACAGGATTCTTGAGTAGCGATATTCAGTGTTCTTGAGTACACATTCTTCACCGAGGTGTCCTGAGTGCGGATTCATTGTCAGGATCCCACTGTAAATGTTTTTCGCTCCGGATTTCATAGCAAATATTCGTTGCTAGGGATTCTTTTTGTAACATGTTTCGTTTGCGATTCCTTAACACAGATTCTTTACATCGGATTGCTTGTGGAAGATTATTATCAGCAGCTCCTGAGCGAAGTTCCGTTAATCAGGATGCTTCATCATTGCAATTGATACGTATTCTGTTGTAGAGATTTATTACCAAGGGTTATTAAATAATTTCTTTTTTGGGGGGGAATATCTTGGTGAAGGTTCACCACTAAGGGTTCCTGTGCAAAGATTCGTTATGCATGATTCCTTCGTAAAGGGTCCTTGGCCATGGGTCGTCAGCAAGAATTTCTACGTGAGAATAAATGATCGAAGAACCCTACTGAGGATTTCTGAGCAACTTTTTTTTATTAAGAGGTCGTTCGCACGATTTCCTTAAGAGGTCGTTCGCACGATTTCCTTACCAAGGATTCCAGACTAAAGACTCCTTCTGAAGGATTCCCTGCTGCAGTTTCTTATTAAGGATTCCCTGGTACAGTCTCGTTTTCTTGCTGACGTGGCTAATTAACGACTCCTTAGTATTGGCGGTTTCTTTACTAGGGGTTCCTCATTGAAGATTGCTCATTGAGGATTCCGGAATACAGACTCCATACAAAAAATACTTGAGTACGGATCCCTGATTGAGGATTCCTTAGTAAAAGGTTCCGCACGAAGGAGTCCTTATAAAATTGTTCTTGCTGATGGTTTTTGTTGCAATGGTTCCTCACCGCAGGTTCCTTGGTACATGTTCCTTATAACATGCTTCTTCAGTAAAGACTCATTATCAAGGATTCCTTAGCTAAGATTCCTGATTAAGGGATCTTTTTGCGGAATTCACTAGTACAGGTTATTTTTTAAAACTGGAGATCGTAGTGACGCTTCCTTCTGAAGGATTCCTTAGTGCAGGTTCATTATGAAGGAGTCCTTTTTGTAAGGACTCGTATCCAGTATTTATGCTAAAGGATTCTTTCTTCAAGGCACCTCACTTGGGATTCCTGAGTCAAGATGCCTAAGGAGCTCGTGGATGGGAGCCTCTGAGAAGCGCGCGTGCTTGTTCTGGGAGAGTCCTGAGTAGAGTATCCGTACGTTTCAGTCTGAGGAGGCTGCGGCGGTGGCACCGGGCGTTTCCAGTTGCCCGTTGCCCCCCCCCCCCCCCCATGGGGCCTCCAGCAAAGGTTCTTATCCCCCCCGTAGGAACGCTGGGGATCGATGGGGCCTCCAGGTGGTGTTGTTACCTTGTTGTTGTTGTTGTTGTTGTTGTTGTTGTTGTTGTTGTTGTTGTTGTTGTCGTTGTTGTTGTTGTTGTTGTTGTGATTGTTGTTGTTGTTGTTGTTGTTGTTGTTGGTGGTGGTGGTGGTGGTGGTGGTGGTGGTGTAAGCCAGGGGCCAGGGGCACAGTCTAACGCGCAATCGCTTCCCTCGTGCAAAACAATGCGAAACTCGAGAGTGGCATGTGAATTGGCAAGAGAAATAATGCATACCGTGGAGGAGACCAACAATAATCACTAACAACGATTTTGAAACTAGTCGCTCCCATGTGCTGCTATGTTACCCAACACATGTATCAAACATTCGATACCCGCCCTCTTCGTTTTCGATCGTACCCCTTTTGGGAGTACGCCTTCCGTTCCTGCCACGCGTAGTTGACGCATCACCTGAAACAACAAGAGGAAGGAGACAGCAAAAAGAGTCAGCAAGGAGGAAAGGAGTGCGGGGAGGGAGGGAGGAGGGAAAGGACAAGAGGGAGGGAAAAGGATGGGGCACGGGAGAGATTAGCATGAGGGGGCTTAGACACAAGAAAGGACACGTGAGTCGCGCATGAAGCGCGAGGAAGTCTCAATCGGCACCGCGATTCCCGAGTAAATCGTGAGGGAATCCAGAGCGAGAGCGTGAATCCTGCGTGTCGAGGGCGTGGCGCTTGACTGCATTGCAAAGCAAGTCCCACGAGAGAGTGCGATGCCTTGGACACTTGCAAGGAAGTCCCGAGCGAAAGCGCGATCCTTCAGTAAGTTGCGAGGGCGTATCAGGTGGGAGCCGTTGTTGTTCTGGCTCGGGCGCCAACAGCGCAGCCTGGCGACCCAAGGCTCTTTCTGGTACAAGTCGTGATGCGAGCCCCTTGACGGGCCCTTCAACTGGAAGAAACACATTTGCTGCCGCGGAGGCGGGATCAGCATTACTCCAGATTTCGTAATAAAAGGGAGGGGGTCTGGACCCTCCAAGACAAGCCATTTCAGACCCCCCCCGTGGGAGAACCCTCCAAAACATCGTCCCAAGACCCCCCAGGCCCTCCAAGATAGCCTGGAAGAGACCCCCCCGAAATGAGACCCCCCTCCTTTTATTACGAAATCTGGAGTAATCGAGGGGAACAACTCTTCGGCGCTCCGCGCGGCTTTTTCTTGGATCCGCGCTAGGGCCCCGGCGCCTCCAGAGGCGCCTCCGGCTCCGCCCTCGGCGCGCTCCGCGCGCCAGGGAGGGGGTGCCCAGCGCAGAGGCGAGAGATCCGGGCGGAGCGCCCAAAGGTTACACGCCGGTCGTTAAAGTAGGTATTTCTGGCTTTCCAGATCCCAATCTACTTCAAGCGCCTTCCTACTTCAAGAACCGATGCGTTTTTTTTCTGTGGTTTGTTATTCTCTGGGAGGTCCTGAACCCAATCTACTTGAACCGCCTTCCTACTTTATGTTTTTATCTACTTCTTCCGACCGGCGTGTATGTCTGTGCAGTTTCCGTTTCCTCTAGCCAACCATCCCTTACAGATGGAACGCTCAACAACAGCGCTCGTGCGAATAGTTGTGTGCTCCTGCCCTCCCACGAGAGGGCGGCGACCACGAGGACCATGAGGAGCAGCAGCAGCGAGGAGCAGGAACGAGTGGGCAGGTCACCCTCGCGGACGCCAAGCCGGTTGAGGACCCGGAGAGGGCGCACGAGGATTTTTGCTGCGTTCTCGCGCTGGTTTTTCCCAGTGCGATCTGTTCGAGCAGGTTTTGTGGCAACGGCGCTTCCACCCCAGACTTCCAAGCCCAATGCATTCGCAGACGGTCGATTGATGATCGTTCTTCCTTCCTCCCCCATTTCGCCCATCCTCCTCAACCTCCATCCATCCTCGTTCCTCTTCCTCCTCCCCTCCTCCTTCCTCCTCTCCTCTCCCCTCATCTCCTTCTCCTACCAGAAGGGTGGCTATTAAGCAGATGTCCTGGTCGATGCCCAACTTCTGCGCCTTCCTGGACGATTTTGGGACTGAGATGTCTCTTACGGTCACCTCCCCAGCACTCCTCAAGAAGCTCTTAAAGGCCGCTGTGCAGAGAACCCATGAGCGAGCTAGTGGTGCAGCCCTGCTTCTAGTACCCCTGGTGCTCGCGTTTATCATGATGTTGTTGCTGCTTGCTGCCACGTTGCGGTCCGAGCCTGGCGCGCTGTTCTAGCGAGGGTCTGCAAAAGCTGCGGCATGCAATGCGACGTGGACCAGAAGCAGAGCCCGCGAAGCCGGCAACGAAGTTGACATCATGTGCACTTATGCCATCCCAATCTTGATATTCTACTACATCGGCTCTGGTTCTGCCTAGCTTGTCATAATACACGTGCAGAAGTATTTGAAAGTGTTCGTGGAAAGTTTGATCGGCCCCACTCTCCTGGGTTGGCCTCGGACACCAACGAGGAGGAGTTACTGTTGTACACCCGTGGTCTCTTTCGACACCCTGGTGAAGTTTTTGTTTATGTTCTGCCAGTGATGATGTGGAAGACCATGGTCTCGAAGTGTTGTGGGCTCATTATTCCGAACGCCGCTCTCTCGGCATGTCTGGTCATGTTTTTGTACATGGGTCCTGGGCCCCCCACGCTGTCCAAGAACTCTCCAGGGCGGTCCAGGGGGTGGTAGTTGTAGGAGACGACGGATCGGAGAGTTGTCGAATCAGTTGCCCCCTCTGGGCCCCAAACATTCAGACTGCTCAGGGGGGGATGAATTCGGGGCTTACGCCGTCGCCGCCATGCAGGCCCAGCAAAATAGCTCAACCTATTCCGATTGCAAGAATGTTGTGGTGCAGGCTCATGAGCCTCTGCTGCGTGTCCTGTCCTACAAGCGCGTCTATTCTGGTTCTCTGCTACCTGCTTATAGGAACCGGGTCGATGGCGCGTTGAATTAAAAGTCGAAGCCCTTGTCGAAGAGTCAGATTACTTAGTTGAGCAGCAGCAGTGCTTCAAATCGGCAACGACCTTGCAAATCATGCTGCGAAGCAGTTCGGTGGCTGGTCCCCCGCAGGCCTCGCCCGATGGCACTGCTTGGCCCGATCGGTGCGCTCAGATTCCCGAACGTGTGTCCTGCGCCGCTCGGCCGAACGCCTGCCCGAGCGGCCCAGCAGGGGTGGACCCAAACGGTGTTTTTGGTGATCTCGTGGGCCGCTTTCGTCTCGAGTTCGTGTTGCGGCAGAGGCGGATTCGAGACAAAAAAGCGAGGGAGAACGAAAGCAAAACGAAAACGAAACACACTGTTTAGGTGCAGCCCAGTGGCCCAGGGTGCTCCCGAAGGGTGCCGGCCCTGTCGAGGAGCCTCCCCGTCCTCGGTGCCCCCCGCTGGACGGCCGCGCGAGCGGGGCCAGGGCCTCGACGTCCTGGGGGCAGGGCATCGAGGGCCCGCGAGCCGCCCACGGGTGTGCCGCGGGGGGGGGGGGGGGAGCCCCCCCGGGCGGCCAGGGCCCGCCCCCGCCTGGGGCGCGCGCGCAATCTGCCCCAAGGCCTGCGAGGAGAAAACAACAAAAACTTGGATCTACGCAGGTGAAGCAACGTTAGAGTGGGGGCGCGCATCCAGAAACCATCTACGTTTCGTCCGTGTGCCCTGGGGTTCTTCGCTCCGCGCGAGGCGCGGTGACTTCCCGCGGCCGCTGAAGGAGCTGCTGCGTTCGGGGTGCTCCGGGTTTCCCCTCAGTTGCACTTCGCGCGCGGGTTTTCAGGGTTGGGTTTCCTGCGACGGTTTCTCGCGACCGCGCCCGCAACGTTTGGCTCCCCGCTGCCCCTCCTCGTGTCTCTTGCGCGCGCGCGCCGCCTGCCTGCCGCTGTTTTGGGCTCGGTGGTGGGGCCGCCGCTCTGGGGCCAAGCGTGCCTGGACGTCGGCGTGCGAGGGTACAGTCGGGGCCCCGAAGAAGGAACCCTTTTCGTAGGGGAGGGGCTCCGCGTTCCTTCAGTGTTTCGCAGCTTGCCTCAGGTTTTCCTTCTGTTGTCGATCGGATATCGAAGTTTAACTTGTGGAAAAAAGGGGCCTCGTTCCTCATTTTGGCTTCCTTAGGTCAAGGCCCCGACTGTACGCGCCCGAAGTTGGCTGGAGGCTGGAGTCTCCGTTGCGGCGGGGCCGTGCCTCGGCGGCGCCCAGCCAGCTCCTGCGGGCGCGCCCCGCTCTGTGCGCAGCAGCCTGTGCCTCTTGCAAGCCGCAGGCTCGAGACAGGGCTGGGCCCAAACGCTGTGTTCCTGGACTTCGGCTCTGTTTGGCTTGGCGTTTTGGCAGGGAGGTGCAGGGAAAGAGGCAGAGCAAGACGAAAACATAACGAAAAATGACGTTTTGATCCAGCCCTGTGACGAGGACTCATCGGACTGGGGGCTTCTGCTCACTGGCCGTCCTCGCCCATCCTCCTCGTGTCGCCGGCTCTCTTTCTGCGCGCCTCTGGTCGCCGGCCTCGGCGGCCCGTCCTGCCCAGCCTGCAGGTTAGCGATCACAGTCGGACCCCTACGTCAGTATCGTTCAACCGATCCCCGTTCCCATCCCCATCCACAAATCGCTTCCTCAGTTGGGGATGCGCCCCTCGAAACCCGAAGAGAGCAGCCTATGTCCCCATCCACGGGGATAAATCGGCCAGTGGGGCCTAGCCCACGCTGATGGGGATGGCATCGGTTAAACGAGGCTCACTACGCGGATTGGCTGCCTCGCCCGGGGGCCCTCTCGCAGGCAGGGTCGCCCCTGCCTCTGGCGTGCCGCACAGCTTCTTGGCGGCAGACCCAGCAGGCGGTCAGCCGTGTGGCCCCACGGTGGATGTCCGAATCATCTCCTCCTCCTCCTGCCTCCTCCTGCCTCCTCCTGCTTCCTCCTTTTCCTCCTGTCTTGAGGTGTAGGATGCTGCCTGGATGCATGGGAGCCGATGTCGTGAACATATCCAGGCGGAGGGTCTTGCGGCTTCCAGGTGCGTTTACCAGGCCCATGGATCGTCAATAGGTGGTACTAGGCCTCCAAGATGGGGTCCGAGTAGATGGGGTCGGAGGATCGCGCCGCATCGCCGAAGCATCGGCGATGCGGCTCGAGGTGGATCCCGACTTGCTCCACGTCGACGCCGCCGATGCACCGCCGATGTCGACGTCGCATCGCCGGTGCATCGCCGATACATCGCCGATGTATCGGCGATGCGGCGCGATCCTCCGACCTCATCCATTCGGACCCCACATCGGAGGCCTCTATAGGTGTAGGTGGCTCGCGACAGAAGGCCAGCTCTGGGAGAAGGGCCAGGACTTCCAGGGACCCCGCATTCTGAAGAGGTCGCAGCCTCGGAGGTCTGGAGCCGCTCCGTGGGATCCTGCCCGCCCCGGGTTGCCTTCGGGGTCTCTCCCCCGGATGTAGCCTGGACTCTGGCATGCGAGCAGCGTGCTGCTCGACTCCAAGAGGAAAAAAACGAACACGGGTACCGATGCCTCGCAGTGGGGCCCACCATTTTCGAGGCCTCCAGTGAATGAGAACTCGTGCCGTCGTCCAGCGCGCATTCCTTCCGCCACGAGCTCGCCGGCACCCCGCGGGTGTGGAGCCGAGGGCGTCGGTGGGGCGCGCACGTCTCCCCTTCCACTCGCCCGGGCGTCTGCCTCTCCGCCCTTTGCCTTGCCATCCTCTCCTGCCATTCTCTGACGACCGCTCCGCGGTGCCCATCATAAAAGAATCCGAGGCAGCAGCGTGGAATGGGGATCCCCCGCTGCAGTGTCCCGTCGGAGAACCTCGAGTCACGCCTTGAGGCCGCAAGGAAGACATCCATTTCCACGCCCATATCCTCCTTGACGTCCACCACCTCATCCTCCTCCGTCCTCCGCGGTGCCCATCCTTCATAAAAGAAAAACGAATCACGTAAGCTTCCAGCGTGGCGCGCGAGTTTCTTCGATCGGCCCACGGTCCCCCCCTGGCGGCGCCTCCGGCGCCGCCCGTGGCGCGTTCCGCGCGTTGGGGCCAGCCGCGAGGGACGGGGGTCCGATGCCGATCCAAGAAATCCGCGCGGACCTCGAACGAAGCCCGATCCCTAAGATTGACACGCCAAAAGGCGATGACAATCTTAGGGATTCGCCTTCAAACAATAAGGGAGTCCCTAAGATTGGCATCGTGATGGGGCGATGCCGAACATAGGGATAGGGATATGTTCCAGGCTGGTAGAATCCGCGCGGACCTCAGAAAAAGGATGGACTGGTTGCGTTCAGTGTTCTGGTTTTAATCCTGGAGTTCGGCTGAAGCTCGCATGATATTTTGACACAGTCACTATGTGCCTGCCTTGGGCGCTCCTGTGGGAAACCCGCGCGGACCTCAGAAAAATGGCGTAATGCTTACAGTTCGTGTTTTGTTATTGATCTTGGAGCTCGGCTGAAGCTCGCACGAGATTTTGACACAATGACTATGTGCCTGCCTTGGTCGCTCCTGTGGTTTGATGCATGGCGACCTTTCGCCTTTATGATCACAAAATTCGGGGGCAGAAATTTCGAGCGCTAAGCCTGGCAGACGAAATTTTGAGATCAATGGGCCTGTTTTCGACGTCCGCAATCAGAGCACACGGGGACAGAAAGCAATGGGCTGCAGTATTCAGACTGCTCCGAGATCCGGTGAGGGAGAAGGGATACACGGGCCAACCATAACGGGGGCCACCAGCGCATGCGGGAACAGCGGGTAGTGGTCGCAAGCGGCGTCGTTGTTGTTCAGCGAACTGCGATAAATACGGCTGCAGTGCTGAGATCGTCGCGGGCGTCTTAGGGGCCCTCCTGGGCGGTCTTGGAGCTCTCTGGGGGGGCGCCTTGGGCGAAGTCGGTCGGATTTGCGGAGCGTTTCAAGGGACTGGCGACCAGTACAGTACAGTGCCGTTTTTAATACATGCTCCGCGTGCGGATCATGTGTTACAAATGCAGGAATTTAGTATTAAAAACAACGATGAGCTCATGCATACATTCATTCATAAATTAATCATGTATTAAAAGTCCTATATGTTTGAAAATCCGATGTATTAAAAAAACTGCCCTGTAGTGACCTGTGGTTGCACCTGCACGTCATGCGGCCTGGACCTCCGAGACCTCAGCTGCAATCCGCGACCCAGGTCAGGACGTTTTCGCCCGGTGGCAGCAGGAGGACATGGCGTCGGTTTGCGTGTACTTGTCTTGGCCGCGTGGAGCAGCGCTTCGAAGAGCCTGTCATTATCGCAGCCCCTTCCTGATCGCCCCTCATGCCGTCCTCTTCCGTCCCTCGTATCCTCTTTGCCATTGTCTTTCGTTTTGCATTCTCGCCCCCTTGCCCTGTTGACCTTGTTCCTTCTCTCGGCCGTCGTCGTCCTCTGGCACTACCATGTGAAGTCGCCCTGCTTTGTTCAGGAGGGGAAACAACACACAGACGCAATTAATCGTCGATTCCGAGGGAAATACAGGAACATATTGACAGTGTGGGGGGGAAAACGAAAACCCAGAAAACATGGGCAAGTGTGGGGAATCCTGGGATTTGTGTTTTTTAGTTCGCGTGTCCCTGGGCCCCTTCATATATCATCTGTCGCCCAGGGTCGGCCCCTTGACGTCGCCAGTTGTTGCAGACGAGTTGGGTGACACCCTGGGTGCGTTGTCCTGGGGTTGTTCTTAACTCCGTCGGCCGCCGCCTCCCCCCTCTTCTCTCCTCTCCCGCGCCCCCTTTTCTGATACTGGTCCTATTTCTCCTGTCCTTGGTCATCCTCAATGCTTCTTTTTTCGCTGTCATTGCTCATCCGGCTATCTGCGTTGTTTAGGGCTCCTGTTCTCCAAGCCCTCCTCTTCCGCTATCCCACAGTGGAGGCTCGTCCAAAAGAAACCTTCCACAAGAAGCCCAACCTTGAGACCCCAGGGCGTCCATGGAGCTCTGGTGTGGGAGCGTCACGCTCTCCACGGCAAGACCATGGAAACCCAAGAAACCCAAGGCACCCCGGAGGCGAGCAGGGCGTTTCTCGACGTGGGCTTCCGCTGTACTCCTGCTCCCCCCCCGCCTCACCACTACGCTGGCACCCTGCCCGCGCCAGGAGCGCGTGGAAGAGAGGCGCCGCCTGAGGCTGGAGCAGGAGAAGCGGCGAGCGGAAGCCGGCGGGCGGGCGGTGCCCCGAACGCTCGGCGCGATCCGAAGAATCTCTGCCAGTGCGGCTGTGTGCGGCCGTCTACGACGTCCTGGGCCGTTCCTGACAGCGCGGGCCCCGCTGGTTGACCTGTCCCGAAGAAAAAACACTGGCCGCAGTCATAAACTTTGGGCGCTCCGCGCGGATTTCTTGGATCCGCGCTGGGCCCCCTCCCCCGCGGCGGCGCATCCGGCGCCGCCCCTGGCGCGCTCCGCGCGCGAGGGAGGGGGTTCCCGCACGGATCCAAGGAATCCGCGCGCAGCGCCAAAAGTTTATGTGTATGGCGTTTGTTGTTGTTTCTCGTTCGATTGACCTATCGCATCCTGAATATGCAGGCTACCTGGTGCCATAGATGTGGCGTAAGCTACGTGGCGAGAAAACAACTACACGGTGTATTATGTGGTGTGGACCATGTGGTGGCATTGACGTTACGTAAGCTATGTGGGTCACACTACAGTCAACCCGCGTAGTAAGGATGGGCAACCTTCCCACGGGTACCCTTGCATCCTTGCCTCCTCCATCCATCCTTGGCCACTTTCGTTGGCCGCGCCTCGCTCGAAAAGCTTAGCAACTGGGCGTCCAAGGCCCTTGCGTCCTTATCGCGCATCCTTATGACACTGTCCGACTGTACACGGAGTAAGCCAGGTGGCGTAAGTCAGTTGTAAGCTGCTTGGGCGGCGACGAGACACCCATCGGCACCCGCTGGGCGAAAACCCAACAACCAGTCACCGCGCACCACGGGTGCCCACCAGGTGAAAACACAACAACCAGCTACCACGCACGCGGCGCCCCGCGCATCGGCCTGGGCCCCCCCCCCCCCGCCCTCACCCCCTGGAGTAGATCTTGGCTGTTTTTCGGTTCTGTTTCAAGCAGGTGGGGTCTCAGCCCGCAGGACGCACCGCTGCAAACAGTCGCAGTAAGCAGCGGTCCAGAGCCAGACACCCCCCGACCGCCCCCCCCTTCGCCCAGTGTCGAAGCGCCGACTGAGACAACGTCCACCACCACGCGCGGGGCGCCCACACGTTGCCACAGGAGGCAGGCGAGAAGAGGGAGCGAAGGAGGGGGGCAGAGAGAGAGTGGGAGCACGGGGAGGTAGGGCAGGGAGGCAGGGCAGGGGGGGAAGGAAACACAAGGGGTGGGAACGTGGGGAGGGAGGGAGGAGGGTCCGGGGGAGGGTGGGAGACTGGGGAGGGGGCAGAGATGCCAAGGGGAGCAGGACGCGGGGGACGGAAGCAGAGGGAGCGGGACAGGCGCCTCCAGGCAGCGCAGGCATGGACACCGGCGCGCGGGTCGGTGACGGGTCTTGCTTCCCGTGCGGAATCGGCGCGCCCCTCGCCAGATCAGGCAGCACTGGTCTCGTGTACGTGCCTTCCCCGACCCGCGGATCTGGCTCCCGTGCGCCAGATCCAAGCATACATAGTCCATGATAGCCTGCGCCCGATCACCCCGTCCTCACTGACAGGCACCTTCCTGGGCCATCCCTCGGGGCGTTTGTACAACAGGTTACAGTTAAGTTGAGCAAGCCGAGAAGCAGAGGCCCCAGTGAATTTCGTTGAGGCGCATTCGCATCAGCTTCCCTCCTCCCTCTCATCCTGCTCCTCGTCCTCCTCCTCATCCCGAACAGCATTCGCAGCAACATCCTCCTCCTCCTTCCGGCCAGGATCCCCTCAAATTGGGCCTGTGGACCCGTCCTGGGGCCCATCTTGGCAGCTTGTTCACTCCGGACGGCCCCAGCCGACGTCCAGGCACAACCTTGGGCGCGGTTGTTGGAGCCGCCTCCTCCTCCTCCTCCTCCTCCTCCTCCTCCTCCTCCTCCTCCTCTTCCCTCCTCCTCCTCCTCCTCCCCCTCCTCCCCCTCCTCCTCCTCCTCCTCGGGTCGGGCGAGCGGTGGGGTCTGCAGGGCTGCGACCGACGCGTGCTGCGTGCAGCTGCTCTCGGCGCTCCACCGCCGGGCGCCTTCTCCTCCGTGCGCCTCCTGCGCCTCCTGCGTCGGGCGGGGCGCCGGGGGGAACACATCCTCGGCTCACCAGCCTCCTCCTCCTCATCCTCCTCCTCCTCCCTCCTCCTCCTCCTCCTCCTGCTTCTCCCCTCCTCCCCTCCTCCTCCTCCTCCTCCTCCTGCTTCTTCTCCTCCTCCTCCTCCCCTCCTCCTCCTCCTCCTCCTCCTCCCTCCTCCTCCTCCTCCTCCTCCTCCTCCTCCTCCTCCTCCTCCTCCCTCTTCTCCTCCTCCTGCGCCTCCGGCCTCGGGGAGGCGCCGGGGGGGGAACACATCCTTGAATTTATCCCTATCCCTCCCCAGGTTTGGGTTTTAAGGTTTCCTGGAGCTTTTTTTTGGTTTGGTTTTTGTTGGCCCGAAGTGGTCGTGGACCGCCTGTTGTCGCAATTCACGAACGTTGCTCCATGCGCCTCCTGCGCCTCCGGCGTCGGGGAGGCGCCCGGGGGGAGCACATCCTTGAGCTTATCCCTATCCCTCCCCAGGTCTGGGTTTTGAGATTTCCTGGAGCTTTTTTTTGGTTTGGGTTTTTTGGCCCGGAGTGGTCGTGGACCGCCTGTACTCGCAATTCACGAACCTAACTCCACGCGCTCCTGCGCCTCCAGCGTCGGGGAGGCGCCGGGGGGGAACACATCCTTGGCTCACCAGCCTCGAACTTACCCCTACAGTCAACGCGCCTAGTAAGGACGCGCGCCTTCATCTAGGGTACCCTTGCGTCCTTGCCTCTGTGGCCCGTCCTTTGCCGTTTTCACTGGTCGCCCGCCGCCCCAAAAAACCAACTTCGGCCTTCAAGGGTCTTGCGTCCTTGCCTCGCGTCCTTACTATACGTTTTGACTGTATCCCTAAGATTGGCACACCAAAAGGCGATGACAATCTTAGGGATGCGCCCTGAAAAACTGAGGGAATCCCTAAGATTGGCATCGCGATGAGGCGATGCCCAGCTTAGGGGTAGGGATATGTGCCAGGCTGGTAATTGGCATCGCTCGGACGTGTGCATTTTCTCTCGGCGAGAACCATCGAGGACCATCCTGGACCATCGAGCAACAACAAAGGCACGCACGAAACCGAGCGACGGCAAGCATCGACGCGGGGATCCCCGCTTGCGCGCTGAGAGAGCTGTGTGTCTTTTGAAGCCGGATCCGGGTGAAACGATAGGTGCTTTTGAGGCCGGATCCGGCTTCAACGCGCTGTTTTTTGTAAGCCGGCTCCGGCTTCGAAAACACGCAGGTCTCTCAAGCCGGATCCGGCTTCGAAAACACGCAGACATTACACCTTAGGCGATGCTTAAGAAAACTTGAAATTTCGGCCAGGGTCTCGATTATTCTTAATGTTTCAATGTAATTCCTAAGATTTTAATGGAATTTTTGGGTTTTTATTCAAGTTCTGAGACTATGAATTTCTTAACCCATGATTTCTTAAGCATTTCGCAGGGTGTATGTTTTGACGTTTCCCTGCACGCCCTCGTCTTCGTTCTTTCTTCCTGCACGCTGGAGGACGATTCCCCCCTCGGTTGCCCCGGGCAGCCCCGCGCCGGTGCGGACCGCCTCTGCCCCGCCGCCGGCGGAGGTTCCGGACGCCCTCCTCTCCGAGGGCCTGAGCCTAGGCATCGCTCGGACGTGTGCATGTTTCCCTCGGCGAGGACCATCGAGGAGCATCCTTGATCATTTGGCGAAGAAACCACGCACGAAACCGAACAAAGCACAGGGAATGGACGTCCGAGCGACGGCAAGTGAGCGGATCCGAGCGCGAGCCGGGCGGAGCGCGTGCAAAGTCCGAGCGTGAGCCCTCTCTGCTTCCCTCCCTTGCCGCCGCGCGCTGCCTCCTCTCCCTGCCGCCGCAGGCTGCCCCCTGTGGCGGCTCGACCCCCGGGGGGGGGGGGCCCGGAATGCCGTGCCGGCATCAGCGGGGGCCTATGCCAAGAGAACACCCCCGCTTGCCTCCAGGATGCCCTGGATCTCTTGGGTTTCGATGGTTCTGCTGTGAAAAGCGCGACGTTCCCGCACCAGACATCAGTGGACGTCCTGGGGTCTCAGGGTTGGGCTTCTTGTGGAAGGGTTCTTGTGGTCGATCCCGTGATCAGGGGGCTCTGCAGGGAGAGGCGCCCCAGGTGCAGACATACTGGACTCGCCTCGAGACCTCCCGACAGTCTGGGCGCGAACGGGCAAGGGTCCTACCCCCCTGGCGGCTCCCCCTGGGGGTGCCCAAGGGCTATACCTGCTACATTGCGGCGACCACAGGGCTCTCAACGAGAGGAGTTGGTGAAGCCAGAAGGCACGTTTCGCCTGAGATGTCCCCACAGTCTTGCCGCGGGTGGGCAGTTGTCAGACCCCCTGGCGGCTCCCCTCCACCTTGGGGTGCCTAAGTGCCCTGTCTGCTACACTGCTGTAAGCATGGGCGAGTCTGAGTGTGAGGAGCGAGAATGAGTGGGTCTGAGTACGAGTGCCAGAGTTTGAGTAAGTTACGACTAGGTTGAGAATCAAGGCTTCTGAGTGTGAGTGGTCTGAGTGAGTGAGTCTGAGTGTGGGGGAGTCTGAGTGTGAGAGGGTCTAAGCGTTCGTGGGTGTGAGCGTGGGTGACTCTGAGTGTGAGTAAGGCTTGGTTTGAGTGACTCCGCGCGTGGGCGCGTCCGAGTAAGGCTTGGTTCCGGTGACTTTCAGTGTGAGTCAGAGTCCGCATGCATCAAAGTTAAGTGGTCTCAGTGTGGGTGAGTCCGAGCATGAGAGATGCAATCTTGGACAAGAGGGTCGTGTGTCTAGGCACGGGGAAGGCCGCAACAGCAAGAAAGGAGGAGCCGGAGGCGTCACACTAATAACAATAATTTCAATAGCCCCGTCTTAGGACATGGGGAAGGAAATTCCTGCGTGCAGCCGATATGCCGACCCCCCTCCCCCCTTTGCTATCCCCCCCCCCTCTCGACCACCCGCCAGTTCCGTGTGGCTACTCCGCGGTGCCTTCTGCGCCGCTGATCGTGTCTGCTCGTCGCTTTCAGGACCGCGGCCCCGTGGACGCAGCCATTCCGCGAGCCTTGCGCCTCCCTCATTATGCAAGGGCTCAACGGCTTCTGCCGTCCCCATGCACTCGCGCTGGCTCGGCCACGACTTGCCCCAAATTCCCCTGGAGACCTCTGGATTTGCCTGGACCTACCTCGACGGGTCTGCACTTGCCTTGATTTGTCCCGCCTGGTCCCCATAAAAGTCGATGGGCGAAAGGTCGTCAAGCGCCCCTCGCTCTGGTCAGCTCACCCCCCCGGCCCCTGTGCCTACAGTGGGGGCCCATGTCTGGGTCTCTTGAGTTTCGGTGGCTTTGCGCTAGAGAGCGCGACGTCCCCACGCCAAAGATCCACCCACGGACGCCCTGGGGTCTCAGGGCTGGGCTCCTTGTGCAGAGATTGCTTGTGGACTGGCCTCCGCTGTACTCCCCGTGCAAGGAAAAGGAATGGAGGAGGAGGAGGAGGAGGAGGAGGAGGAGGAGAGGGAGGAGGAGGAGGCGGGGGGGGAGGAGGAGGAGGAGGAGGAGGAGGAGGAGGAGGAGGAGGAGGAGGAGGAGGAGGAGGAGGAGGAGGAGGAGGAGGAGGGGGGCCGCAGCCTGGCAAGGGCACGCGCCGCGCGAGTGGCCCCGCGCCGCCCCGCCGGCCCCGCGGAGGCGGCATGGCAGCGGCGACGGCGCCCGCCGGCCCCGAGGCGCGCGCCGTGCGCGGGGCGGCGGGCTGCAAGGGCCGAGGGCGCCTCGTCGGAGGAGGAACGCCACAAACATGCCTTCTTCAGGAGGGGACAAGAACACAGACACCATGAATCGTCGACTCCCCAGATAATGTATATATATATAGATATAGGTATACATATATATATGTATATATATATGGAAAAAAGTATGGGAAGCGGTGGGGGCAGCAAGAACGAGGAAAGTATGGGGAGTCTTGTTAGTTGTGTTTACTTGCTCTGTGTGTCCCAGGGCCCCTTCACTTTCGGCGCTCCGCGCGGTTTTCTCGGATCCGCGCCGGGCCCTCCGGCACCGCCCCTGGGGCGCTGCGCGCGCCAGGGAGGGGGGTCCAGCGCGGGTGCCAGAAGTCCGCGCGGAGCGCCAAAAGTTTGTGTTTGCTGCGTTGTTTGCAATGTTTGCTTCTGCTTCGGGAAGCCGCTCTTCCCTCCTTCCGCCTCACCCTTCTCGTTTTCCTCTCCCCCTCCTCCTCTCCACCCCTCCTCTCCTCCCTCCTCGCCACCCCTCCTCTCCTCCCTCTTCTCGTTCCTCTCTCCCCTCTCCTCCCTCCCCTCTTTTCCTTCCTCCTCGTCCGCCCTCCTCCCCCCTGCTGCTGCTCCCTCCTGGCCCCTCCCTTCCCCATCGGAGGGAGGAGGAGGGAGGAGGAGGGGGAGGGAGGAGGAGGAGGAGGAGGAGGTGGAGGAGGAGGAGGGAGAAGGAGGGAGTCCCTCCCCCGTCGTCTGTCTTCCCCACCCCCTCATCTCCCCCCCCCCCTCCCCCCTCCTGATCCATTAACACCGCTCCGCTGGGCTGGGCGGATGCATATTCCGGACTTGTGAACCAGTAACACACAGGCAGGGTTGGACGCTCGTTGTCTTCCATCGCCCGCCTCTTCCTCATCATCATCCGCCTCTCTCCCCATTCGCCATCGGCACAGTCGCAATACCCGCAACTCTGCACTTCCTCCTCCCCCTCCTTCCCTGCCCAGAGACCGGTGGTGGAATCAGCTCAGTTCAGTCGCGGTGTTATTCAGAAGGGATGGATAGCGTGTGAGAATAATTAGGAGGGAAGACGAGCATGCAAGACAAATATGTCAAAATGGATGTCCCAGAATGTGGATCGATTTGTTGGTGTCTCCCGGGGCCCCTGCAGCCACGTCCACCACAGGGAGAGGGTCAGGCGCAGCGGGACCATGGACAGGTGGCCACGGCCCACCGAACCACCCCAACTCAACCCGAAGGCCCCGATTTGCCTTCCATTTCCAGTGGGGGGGTGGGTCGGGGAACATTGAACAAAGACGTGCGCAGCCCGTACCCCACCACCAACCCGAAGTTCGGGTCTTCGGGTTGGGTTAGGGTGGTCTGCCAGGTAGTTAGGAGGGCGCCCGAGCACTTCTGTCAGAGCCCTCCACCATTCGCGCGCGCAGAAGCTCCTGCTGAGCCCCTGGGCCAAGCGGTGGCGCAAGGAGATCAAGGAGCACATGCCGCTGCCGTTGGCTTCGCTCTCTCGGCTCCCTTGTGTACCTCCTCTTCTCTTCGAAGCTGTCCTGATCGAAGGAGAGAGAGAGAGAGAGAGAGAGAGAGAGAGAGAAAGAAAGAGAGCACAAACAATGCATAAACATTAAACTTTTGGCGCTCCGCGCGGACTTCTTGGATCCGCGCCGCCCCCCCCCCCCTTCGCGGCCTCTCCAGCGCCGCCCCTGGCGCGCTCCGCGGATCCAAGAAATCCGTGCGGAGCGCCAAAAGCCTCTTTCTGTCAGGCGCCCCCTCGTCACAGCTTTAGACGCGGCCCGAACATATTGCCGCTCGTGTTACAGTCCAGCTCCTTCTCGTCGTACTGCTCATCCTGATTCCCCTCGTCCTGGTCTCTGAGCCGACGTGAGCTTCGCCCAAGACTTGCAATTGCCACAATGCGACGTGAAGAAGGCCTTGAGGAGTCCTCAGTCTGCTCCTTATCTCCCCTTCCCCCGCCGCTCTCCCTCCTGCGCCTCTTCCTACCTCCCTACGGTAGGTTTGCGTCGTGTCGACCAGCGGCGACCCCAGCGCGGGCGTTCAAGGTTGAACGCCGCCGGCGACCCAGAATCGATCGATGTTGAACGATCGGACGTTGCGGCAGCGGCCGATCGTTCAAGGTTGAACGATCCTTGCGGTGTCAAAAACCAACGCTGGGGTCGGCACGACACGAACCTGCCGTACCTCCCCGATCAACGCCGCCCCCTCGTTTCTTTGATGGCTCATGTTTGTTCCAGATGCCCAGTGTTTGGTGCGTCTACCTTCCGACCTTTCGGGGCGCCGTCGTATTCCACAAGCAGTGGTTGCACTTAGGGGCTCTTATCCCTCTTTCAAGGAATTCTTTACGCTTCGCGTATCCCCACCAGCCCATCTCACAACAGCAACTCTTGCCAAGCATGCCGACAGTCGTGTTTTTTCAGGCGTGTGTCCGCTTGGCCCCGCATATCTCCCCTGTTACTCCTTCCTCCCGCCTCCTTGTACATCGTCCTTGTGGGGGGAGCGGGAGAAGGACGAGGCGGAGGAGGAGGGAGAGAAAGCGCTCCTCGTGGTTTGAGTCGTTTGGGGTTTCTCGTCCTGGTGTGAGTCGTTCGGGCCCTTCTTCCAGGTGTGAGTCGTTCGGGCTCTTCGTGGTGTGAGTCGTTCGGGCTCTTCGTCCTGGTGTGAGTCGTTCGGGCTTCTCGTGGTGTGAGTTGTTCGGGCCCCTCGTCCTGGTGTGAGTCGTTCGGGCCCCTCCTCCTGGTGTGACTCGTTCGGGCTCCTCGTGGTGTGAGTCGTTCGGGGCCCTCGTCGTGGTGTGAGTCGTTCGGGCTCCTCGTGGTGTGAGTCGTTCGGGCGCCTCGTCTGGTGTGAGTCGTTCGGGCCCCTCCTTCTGGTGTGAGTCGTTCGGGCTCTTCGTGGTGTGAGTCGTTCGGGCCCCTCGTCCTGGTGTGAGTCGTTCGGGCTCCTCGTGGCGTGAGGCGTTCGGGCACCTCGTCCCCTTTTGGGGCGTCTTGGGGGCCTCTGGGCGGCCCCAGGGGCTTCTAGGAGCGTCTTGGGTGCCTTGGGGGAGCCTCTTCGGGCCTCTTGGGGCCTCTTGGAGGCCGTTTGGGGCGTCTTGGGGGCCTCTTGGCGGCCCCAGGGGCTTCCAGGAGCGTCTTGGGTGCCTCGGGGGAGCCTCTTGGGGCCTCTTGGGGGCCTCTTGGGGGCATCCTGGGGGCCTCTTGGAGGCCTCTTGGGGGCCTCCTGGGGGCCTCTTGGGGCCATCTTGGGGCCTCTTGGTGCCTCCTGGGCGCTTCTTGGGCCCATCTTGGAGGGAATGGATCGAAGAAGAGGGGAGCTTCAATGAGCGCTGCCCCCTCAGAAGGGCAAAATGAGCCCAAAACCTTGTAAAATCAATGATTTTGCCTTGAAGGAAGAGGGGAGCTTTCATGAGCGCTGGCCTCTCAGAAGGCCAAAATGGGGCCAAAACCGTAGTAAAATCAATGATTTTGGCTTCACAGAAGAGGAGAGGGTTTTTTCTGCCTCCCCCCGTCGGGGCCAGAATCCTCGTGAGGGGTGTGACCCCCCTGACGACCCGCGAGGCGCCCTCTCCAGGTCCAGGGTGAGGGGGGTAGGGGGAGGGGTAAACCCCTCCCCGAAGGGGAAGAAGGGGGGTTGGGGGGTTGAAAACAGAGAGAGAGAGCTCGCTAAACCACTCACGCCCAAAGGGCTGGTGGGACTGGGTCTAGCTTGCGGTCGGGCGGCTCCGTGCTCGCCCTCGCCGCCCCCTCGCCGCCTCGCCGCCGCCCGCCGTCTGGGGCCTGGCCGGCGGTCTGGCGGCCCCGTGCTCGTCGTCGCCGCCCCCTCGCCGCCCCCTCGCCGCCCGACGTCCGGGGCCTGGCCGGCGGTCGGGCGGCTCCGTGCTCGCCGTCGCCGCCCCCTCGCCGCCCCCGCGCCGCCTCGTCGCCCGCCCGCCGTCCGGGGCCCGGCCGGCGGTCGGGCGGCCCCGTGCTCGCCGTGGCCGGCCCCGTGGCCGGCCCCGATGAGGAGGGAGAAAAATTCGCAGGCACGAGTAGGCGACGCTTCCCCAGAGAAGATGGGAAATATGGGGAGTGGATGGGGAAGCCAACAACAACAACAAAAACAAAAAGTAATAGAGAAAGCATACATATATATGTGTATATACATGTATATATATATAGAGAGAGGGGGGATCCCTGTTATTTGTGTGTACTTGTTTGTGTGTCCCTGGGCCCCTTCGCAAGAGAGCACGGGCGCAGAGGGCACGGGGGCAGCTCGGCGCGGGCCCCTCGAGGGTCGCAGCCTGCACGCCTCGAGCGCCGCCGCCTGCCTCCCACGAGCACTTACTCTCAGGAGGGAGCAAAACACAGACACGATGAAGCGTCGACCTCCCCCAGGAACACATATGTATGGGAAAGTATGGGAAAATGTATGGGAAAGTATGGGAAGTTGGGGGGAAAGACAAAAAGCCCAGAGACTATGGAAAAGATTCCAGCAGCGGCGAGGCGTCCTGGCTCGCCTATGGCCCCACCAAACACTGTTCTGAGAACCTGTTGTGGCTCCCACGAAATGTTCTTAGAACATTTATGGCGGAGTCTGTCTTGTTGTATCACGTCGGGTTTTCATGTTCTAAGAACGTTTTTGTTGTTATTGGAACAGTTTTTGGTTCTAAGAACATTTCGTGGTAGGACTATAGGAATGCCGGGACGGTCGGTCCCTGCTCAAACGAACTCTATTCGCCGCACGCTCCACTCAGGAGGGAACAAAAATCACAGACACAGTTAATCGTCGATCCCCCATGAACATATCTGGGAAAGTATATGGGAAGTGGGGGGGGGAAGACAAAGACCCAGAGAATATGGGAAGATATGGTGAATCCTGTTATTTGCGTGTAATTATTTGTGTGTCCCAGGGCCCCGCAACCCTCGGCCTCAGAGAGCCGGAATCTGCGTGAAGGAGGCTGCTTCGGCTTGCCGGTCGACCATGTCATTCGCTTGCCTCCAGAGCTCGGGGATGTTCGGATGCATTTCTTGGGAGGTCAGATTCTGATTTTGCCCTGGTCCGAAATCCAACCTAATCCTGCTTGATCCCGCTTCATCCGACTAGTCCCGCTTAATCCCGTCTAATCCGGCTTTATTCCGAGGCCCACCCTGGCGTAAGAGCCCCCCAATGGGGCCTACTCCTACAGAATCTTTCCAGCGAAGACCTGCCAGTAGTTGCCTCCTGAGGGATGCCCAGAAACCCCGCTCGCTTCTCGGACCTCGGGCGAAGTGCGGCTCCACCCTGTGGTTAAGTCGGGCCTGTCCCCCTACAGGGGGATCTTCGACGAAAAATAAAACATACCGAACAAATAATCCAAAAACAATCGAAAAATAGTCTGGGGACTATTTCTTGATGATTGATTGACCATTTTGGTGCATTTTGGGTGTATTTGTTTTCTATTTTTCGTCGAAAATCACCCTGTAGGGGGACAGGCCCGACCTGACCCCGTGGGCGGTCGGCCGCACCTGCCCGAGGGCCTCCCACGGGCGCCGCCGCGGCTCTCGGCCGGGCCCGAGGGCGCTCCGCACGGGGCCCTCGCAGGCCCCACGCGCTGCACGGCGCGAGTGGGTCGTGACATGTAAAACTCAGCCAGGGCGGGGAGGGGAAGGAGGAGGAGGAGGAGGAGGAGGGGGAGGAAGAGGAGGAGGAGGAGAGGAGGAGGAGGAGGAGGAGGAGGCGCTGACTTTCTAGGCCTCCTAGATGGGGTCGGAGAAGATGGGGTCGGAGGATCGCGCCGCATCGCCGATGCATCGGCGATGCATCGGCGATGCGGCTCGATGAGGGGCCCAATGTTCTCTACGCCGTTACTGGTGCATCGCCGATGCATCGCCGATGGATCTGTGGTACGTCGAGATCCTCCGACCCCATCGACTCGGACCCCATCTAGGAGGCCTCTAGAGTTCAACCCAGCGCACCAGCGCCAGGAGCTCCGCTCGGTGAATCATCTGGCCCAGGTAAATACTCCAAATCCTTTATTAATCGTCGACCGGGTCCAGTTTTTTTAAGGCGCCTTTTTTGTAACTGGGGGAGTCCAGTTCATTAGGGCGCTTTCTGTGGATGGGAGCTTAGGGGTCAATTTTTTGAAGGCGCCCCGTCGAAGAGGGGGGGTCCGTAATATTAAGTCGCCTTTGGAGGGGGGTTCGGTTTTTTAGGGGGGGGGGGTCGATTGATAAGGGATTTGGAATAGGTCTCCGGCCAGCCCTTGAATGTCCTGCCCCGGGCCCCAGGTCAGACTCTTGCACCCGGGGGCTGCGGTGCAACAGCGTTGCAACTCCACGAGCGGCGGCGAAGTCTAGGGGTCCTGAGAGCGTCTCCCCCTTTCCTCCTCCCTCCTCCCACCTCCCACCTACCTCCTGCCTCCTCCCTCCTCCCTCCTCCCACCTCCCTCCTCCCTCCTCCCACCTCCCTCCCCCCCCGACCCGTCCCCATGCTCTCCACCACTCCATCCCACGCTGGGCCCAGTGGCTACCGCGTCGAACGACCACTCCCATGCGAGGTCGTCCTCCGACGATGGGGGTGACCTCGGTCCATGATGACGGCCGGCAGCCCACGAATCCAGAGCACTGGGCAGGCGCGGGCCGCTAGAGCCTTCTCCCGCTAGACCAAGGCGCAGCCGTGGCCACCGCCATCAGGGCACCTCGCAGCCTGAGAGCCTGCTGCGAGGCCGTGCGGCTCAGGGCAAACAGCCACTGGCGCACGGAGTAAGCGCCGATTCCACACTCGGCCTCCGTCCCCTGCGAGTGGGCAGCCACACGTCGCCAGAACCTAGCCCAAACCGAAACGAGCACCTCGCGCACAAAAAGGCTCACATCAATAAAACCGTGTCCTGGAAGCTCCAGCCTCCAAACGCTGCCCGTCAGGGCCAGCCACTCAAGATACTGCGGGTCCTGCGGGAGCCAACCGTGGTCCAAAAGCACCGTCAAGATCCCCGAGATGGGTCCCGACACCCCGGCCCACCCTCGGTTCGCCCGAGCCTTCAGGAGCCGTCGGGCCACTTTGGGCCCGCTACGGTGGAACCGAGCACGCACCTGGATGGCAAGAGAGGGGTCGCGGTGAGCTCGAAAAAGCTCGTGAACTGGCGCAGCGCAAGCTCCACCGCAGGCGTGCCCTGACCCAACTCCAAGGCAAGGTGCGTTGTGACACACTGGCCTGTCTTTGGCCCTTCCAGGGCCACACCCACGGCAGACTGGGTGCGCAAGGCGGTGAAGCAGGATGGGGAGGAGGAAGCGGAGGAGGAGGAGGAGAAGGAGGAGGAGGAGGAAGCGGAGGAGAGGGCGGACGAGGAAGTTGAAAAAGAAGAAGAAGGCGGAGGAGGAGGAGGAGGAGCAGGAGCAGGAGCAGGAGCAGGAGGAGCAGGAGGAGCAGGAGCAGAGAGCAGGAGGAGCAGGAGGAGCAGGAGGAGCAGGAGGAGCAGGAGGAGCAGGAGGAGGAGCAAGGACTGTTATACTTGGACGCACCTGACTTCTCCTGGGTCTCCTCGGACATCCCGGATGGGCCCAGAGACCTCCGGGAGGACGAGGAGATGGAGGGGGGAGGGGGTGGAGGTGAAGAGGTGGAGGAGGTGGTGTATGATGAGGAGCGGGGGAGGAGCAGGAGGAGAGAGGAGGATGAGGAGAGGAGGAGGAGGAGGAGGAGGAGGAGGAGGAGGAGGGGGAGAGATGAGGAACGCGTGGCCGAGGAGCAGCTTGAGGGCCTGGGCAAGGGCTTTGATCCAGCCAGGTGGGCCCTGGCCCAGTGAGAGGGGGGCACGAGCGCCCGCAGGAGCGGCTCCCCAAGGAGAGCGCCGGTCCCACCCCGTGGATCGACCCGCGCGTCAAGAGGCTGGCCACTGAGCTGTGGGATGAGGCTCCTCGCCGTCGCGGCGGCCGAAGGGGGTCCTTCCCCCCCCCTTTTACTCCTCCTCCTCCTCCTCCTCCTCCTCCTCATCATCATCATCTTCCTCCTCCTCCTCCTCCCCCTCCTCCTCCTCTTCCTCTCCTCCCCTCCTTCCTTCCCTCCTTCTCCTCCTGCTCCTCCTCCCGCTCCTCATCATACACCACCTCCTCCACCTCTTCACCTCCACCCCCTCCACCACCACCTGCCCCTCCTCCATCTCTCTTCTTCCCTCTTCCTCTTCTCCTCTTCTCCTCCACCTCCTCCTCCTCCTCCTCTCCTCCTCCTCCTCCTCCTCCTCTCCTCCTCCTCCTCTCTCCTCCTCCTCCTCCTCCTCTCCTCCTCCTCCTCCTCCTCCTCCTCCTCCTCCTCCTCCTCCTCCTCCTCCTCTCCCTCCTCTCCTCCTCCTCCTCCTCCTCCTCCTCCTCCTCCTCCTCCTCCTCCTCCTCCTCCTCCTCCTCCTCCTCCTCCTTCCTCCTCCTCCCTCTCCTCCTCCTCCTCCTCCTCCTCCTCCCACTCGAGAACGGCCAGGGGGGGGGATTCAGGGGTCCCCACAAGGTGTTTCGGATGCAACTCCCGGGAGGTACATTTCTGATTTTGCCCTGGTCCGTAATCCGGTTTATTCCCGCTTAATCCAGCTTAATCCCGCACGATCCCGCGCAATCCGGCTCAATCCCGCTTACTGCGAGGCCCACCCTGGCCTAACAGCCCCCCAATGGAGCTCAGTCCCTTTTAATCCTTCCGACGAAGACCTCCCAGTAGTTGCCTCCTAACGGTGTGGCGACCACACTGCGTGGTGTCGGGCGGGACCGGGACGAGGACAGATCCGTTACAGAGCGTGCCGGAACGCTCTCAGAGCGGTCCAGAACGCTTCTGAGAAGGCCGCGGCGCCCGATGTCTCGGGTCTCAGAGATTCTCGATTTATCTTCACCCGATTTTGTCCTTGTCCTTGCTTCGTCTGCTGGTGAGTCAGTGGGGATCCGGGGTCACCGCACGGTTGTGTGGGCTGTGGGGCCGTTCTTCGAGGTTGTCTCGGGCGACAGGGGCGGGTCCCAAAGCCGTGCGGTGGCGGGCCGTGCGGTGAGGGTCGTTGAAGATTCCCGATGCCGAGAGCACAACACAGTCTGTCACCGTGCCACGCGCTTTTGGGACTCCCAGTTCGGGTGTTGCTAGAAGTGCCCCTGGCCCAAGGTGCCCCCCGGATTCTCGGGGTGGCCCAGAGGGCCTCCAGAGCATCCCTAACGAGCCCCAGAGCACCCCAGAGCACCACCCACCGAAGCACCCCAACCCAGCCCGAAGGCCCCAATTTGCCCTCAATTCCCAGTGGGGGGGTGTCGGGAAACATTAAACAAAAGAACAAAAGCATGTGAGGAACCCCCCAACCCCCAACCCGAAAGTTGGGTCTTCGGGTTGGGTTGGGGTGGTCTGGTAAGTAGTCAGTGTGATGGCCAGGGAGAATGGACATTTTGGCCGCGGCCATGGTGTCTCCTTTCACCACGTCCCCTGGCCCCCTGGGCCGCGCACATGCCTCCGGCTAGGATTTGCGAGCCACTCTCTCGGAGGCGGTTGCGCGGGGGTGGTTTCGGGGCCTCTCGGGGGCCTCTCAGGGGCCTCTTGGGGGCGTGGCCTGGATTTGGACACCTCTTTTGGGGGCGTCCTGGGGCTTTGGTGGGCCCCTCGGGGGCCTGTCGGCGGTCTCGGGTGTCATCTTGAGGCAGAGGGTTGGAAATGACGATTCTTGTTCCCCCTTTGGGGCCTCTCTTGAGCCCCTCTTGGGGCCCTCCTTGGCCGGCTTGGGGACCTCTTGGGGGCCTCTTGGGGCGATCGCCTCTTGGGCCGTCTTGGAGCGTCGGGATCCCAAAAAGGCGAGAACTCTCAATTAGCTCAACGAAAACCGAAGGAATGCCACTGATGAGAGCCTCTTGGGGCCCTCTTGGTGCACCACAGGAAGAAGCGAGATACAATTGCCGAACCCCCCATCGAATCGGCGCTCTCGCACCGACCCAGGCAATCCTCATGCGGTGTCACCTGCGCGCGGTTGCTAGTTTTAAAGCGAGTCGTGGGGATATACCTGGCGAAACCAAAGATTTGCACTCCAAGCGAACATGCGAGGCAACATCGGCGAATCGCACACAAGCTGTTCGATATTAGAAATGGGAACAATGTCCAAGCATATTCGGCCAGTTTGAGGGACACGGCTTTCGTCGAATGCACGTGGAATGCGCGCTGGGCGTGAATTCGACGAACATTGTGGACCTTCGTCAAGTCTCCGCCCTTCTGTCTCTCTCTCTCTCTCTCTTCTCCTCCCTCCTTGTGCGTTCCCACACCTTGCCCTGGTCTTTCCTTCCTCCTCCCCTTCTTCGTTGCTCCTCCACTTCGGTGTTATTGCCCAAGTGCTAGGTCTGGGGTTTTTGGCATTCGTATGATGTATCCGCCCCCTCTGCCGTCCAGACTCACTCACATTCAGATACGCAGACACTCAGGTTCACTCCCTCTCACACGGACCCACTCGTACTCAGATCCGCACGAACTCATACTCATTTACACACACCGCTCTCCGTCAGATCCATTCATTTCCAGCCAAGACATACGAATACTCATAAACGTCCTTCCCGCAGTCATATCCTTGTGCGCATCGCGATGTAGCAGGCGTGGCATGCAGCGCCCCAAAGGGGAGCCGCTAGAAGATATGACATGTTAACGTTCGCGCCCAGATTTTGGGGGTGTCTCCGGCGTTTGCCTGTTTTGTTTTTCTCTCATATTGATCGCGATGTTGCAGGCGTGGCATACGAGGACCTTGAACATGAGCCGCCACGGGGTATGACACGTGCCCGTTCGCAACCAGATTGTGGGGGTGTCTCAGGCGGTTCGCTCATTGGGTTGACCAGGCCTCTCTCACTTCATGCCCCCATGGTCATCGCGATGTAGCAAGCGTGGCATCTGAGCAACCCAAGGGAGGGGCGCCAGGATGTATGACATGTGACATCCGAGGACCCCACTGGGGAGCTGCCATGGGCTAACACATTGGTTTTTTCACGCCCGGATCGTGGGGATATGTCGTGCGGTTTGCTCATTATGTCGACCAGGCGTCGTTTTTTCAAGAGTCCCATGGGCACCGCGACGTAGCAGGCGTGGCGTTTGAATACCTCAACGGGGTGCCACCACGGGATATGACATTTGCTCAGGCCCGCCCAGATCGCTTGAATGTCTCAGGCGGTTTGCCTTTCTGGTTGACCAGACTTCTTTCCAGAGCCACATGCTCGTCGCGACGTAGCACGTGGGGCATATGAACACCCCCCCCCGGGAGGAGCCACCAGAAGATATGACATGTGCCCGTTCACGTCGGATTGTCAGGATGAGTCGGGTGGTTTGCTTGTTTGGTTGGCCCGTTTGCTCATTCAAAGCCCCACGCTCATGGTGATGTATCAGGCGAGGCACATGAGCACCCCGCGTGGGATCCGCAAGGGGGGTAGGACGTCTTGACATGTGCCCGCTCGCGCCGAGATGGTGGGGAGGTCTCGGGCGGTTTGCCTGTTATGTTTACGAGGGTTCTCTCTCTGTCTCTTTCATTGCCTCTCCCTCTCCCTCTCTCCCTCCCTCCCTCTCTCTCTCTCTCTCTCTCTTTTTTTTTCTCTCTCTCTCTCTCTCTCTCTCCCTCTTGTGCCACTCAAGCCATTTGGGCTGGAGCACCAATCCCCACGCCCCCGTGCCTGGGCAAGTGCTTGCAGCCTTCCCTGTACTTCCGCGTAGTGCTTACGTAAGGGATTTTGCAAGCAGGTGCGCCCCATCACCTGCCTGCATCAACGAGAAGCAGGGAGAACTTTAGCGATGTCGGCCGCACGTCGCCCATGGAGTAGGTGTCAGTTTTGCCAAACGTGCGAATACAATGACAAGCTTCTCTTCGCAGGCTGTCGTTGCAGCAAGTGTTCCAAGCAGGTGCGGTTGTACAAGCTTCGCACTCGCTCCAAGTTTGCCGATCGAGGTGTGCATTTCGAGGGTGAGGCGGCGTCGGGAGCCACCACTACCACGCGCGGCGGGAAGAAGGGCGGCCCCAAGAGGAGCCAGGACGTCTCGACGCTGCTCGATCAGGCGCTGAAGGCCACCCAGGACACCGAGTTGCAGCAGGTGTTGCAGCAGCAGTCGCGGCGGCTGGCCAGCCAGAACACGAGCGCCAATAACGGCGACACCGTCGACGCCGTCAAGCGTGCAGACGGTGCTTGGAAGGCCGCCAGTAACCGTCACCAGCTGTTGGTGGACCAGGTGATGAGGTTGCGGCAGCAGCCCAGCACCGCAGAGAGCAAGGAGAGTGAGGCTGCTGCCGAGCCCGCCCGCGCAGCGGCGGCGAAGACGGCGGCCACGAAGGCTTCGGTGCAGGCCGAGGGAGTTGGCGCTGCTGCCGTTTCCAACGAGCAGGAGCCCAAGCCGATGTCCGGCACCACCATGAATATGGACGTTTTCAGCTCCTTCGAGCCGTGGGACTGCGAGGAGACGGACAAGCAGCAACTTCGGTCCCCGAAGGCCGAGCTAGAGCAGTACTGTGCAGCCATGGAGGAGAAGAGCTCCACGTGGCAAACGTTTGTTCACAAGGTGAAGCTGGCGGAGAAAGACGTCGCCGAGAGGATGGCCAAGAAGCGCAAGGGGAACGACGGCGGCGCTCAGGATGGCCTGGGCGCGGCCGCTGCCGAGGCAGCGGGAGGGGCGGGCGGCGCAGGTGCTTCCAGCGCTGCTAGCCCCGACGCCGTCGATCCCGCGCAGGAAAAACTGGTTAGAGAAGGAATGAAAAAAAGCGGAGAAGGAGGGCGAAGAGGAAGGAGGAGAGAGGAGGGAGGGGAGGGGAGGGACGAGGAAGGAAGAGGTGGAGGAGGAGGAGGAGGAGGAGGAGGAGGAGGAGGAGGAGCGATCAGCGTTAGGAGGAGCAAGCGCAGCGCTCCCATCCCCTGGAGAAGTGGTGGCATACGTCCAGCGAGGCGGCTGCCAGGAGGCTCTCTGCGCACGCGAGACGATCCTCAGGGGCGACAAAACAGAGTTGGTCGGGGGATGCTGGGACCACCCGCTTCACATCCCTCCTGGACACCGGATATGATCTATCAGGGCGCTTGGTCGCTCGAAGAACTGCTCGCCTCTACGCCTGCTCCGCTCGGAACGGACGGGCGTGGCCAGAGGTGCACGGCCTGCGGTCCGTAGGGGTGGTGGGAGGTAGAACGCGCACGCGTGCGTGTTAGGACTGGTGGCGGGGCTGGAGGCGGCATGGACGAGTCGGAGGACGGAGTCTGTTCCGGCCGCTCGCCCCGACAGCGGCCGGCCTTCGCTGCTCGTCGCCACCGGTACTTCGTATCGCGTGTCCTCTCTGCCAGACTTGCGACCGTTAGTCGCTATTGCGCTCCTCCGCCCCCCCTGGCCCAGCGCGCGAGGCCGCGTGCAGCAGTGGCCATCGGCGAGCGGGCTTCGCCAGGGCAGCTGCGCCGGGTGCCAGCGCGCCCCCCCCGCATGCAGCCGGCAGCGCTGACCTGGGCCCGGCGGGAGGTCTTTCCGGGACGCCCCCCCAGAGGCGCACCGCGAGGCACAGGCGGCCAGCCTCCTGGAGCAGCGCGCCCGTTGCAGACAATGGCTTTTGGAGCAATCCGCGCCTTGGCCTGGGTCAGAGCTGGGTGTTGTGAAGCGCCTTGTTGGTCGCAGCCGCAAGCGAAGGCGCAGGCGGCGTCAGAGGTCAACCCGGGCTGCGGGCGGAGCCCAATTATCCAGCGAGCGAAACGGTTATTCGGAGCCCCACCATACTAGGCCTCCGAGATGGAGTCGGAGTGGATGGGGTCGGAGGATCGCGCAGCATCGCCGATGCATCACCGACGCGGCTCGCTGTGGAGCCCCATGTGCTTCACGTCGACGTCGCGGATGCATCGCCGACATCGACGATGCGCCGCCGGTGCATCGCCGATGCGTCGCCGATTCATCGCCAATGCATCGCCGATGCATCGGCGATCTGGCGCGATCCTTCGACCCCATCTTGTGCAGGTCATGGTGGACCCACCTGAAGTCCAGATTCGGCCGCCAGGCACTTCGGCGGTCCTAGGCGGCGCATACCGCTACGTCTAGCAGAGATATGCCCCGTCATGGAGCCATTAGTGGGACGAGGCCCGCGTGGCAGACGTCAGCCGCCGAAGCACGGGGGACGATTCGCCGGTGCAGGAGTAGATGAGATGGCGCAAGCTAGCGGCCGCATCAGGACATCTGTGCATTGTTGCGGCTTTCCGTGCAGTATCACGTTGGTCATCCCATGACGCGCGATAGCTTTGGCCACCCAGAACACGCGCGTCCGCCGCGGCCTCGTGCCAGCATCGTGGCACCGCCGATCTGTCTACATGAAAGTTAAACGAGGGAAAGCACATGTGGATTTCGATAGTTATCGCCAGCTTGGACTCGGCACGTTGGGAGTCCGCGTGCAGGAAGAACTCTGGTGTGGGAGATGCTCCGAGACCCGTGCGGTCGGGCTGGGGCATTTGCAGGACGGCATGGGCGAGTGCGTCATTGCGGCGCTGCTTGACCTCGTAACGCGGGCCATCCTCATGCTTCAAGGGCGGCCGCGCGGCGATTTCCACAGTAATGGGCGCGGGGCTTTCGAGAACCAAAGCAGAGCAGAGGCTTTCCTCGCACTTCGCGTCCGTGGCGGGGTTGACTGACGGCCGCTACTGGTTATGGGCCCAAGAAATTATGAAGCAAACAAGTTTGTGGGCCACGGCCGACGGCAATGCGTCTGGCGCGATGCACCCGTCAACGGGCACGCCAAAGGGCACGAAATTGAGCCCGATTGGTTTCTGCCTAGCGCAAGCCGCGAAGACCGAAAACATCGACGTTTCGACAGGCATCGGCGCTGGGTTGGACCCCCCGCCCGCAGCGCTGGAAGCCTTCCAGCGCTCCGGAGATAGCAGCGACGCAAACCACTTGGACAAGGATGAAGTCCAGCTGTGGCAGTACGATTTGGCCTCGCAGCCAGGCGCGTGGGAACAAGTGATGCGGTCTGCGTCGTCGGATGCGGTTCGATCGCGCCTCCCCCATGCTTCTTCGACAGTTTGCCAGGGCCGGCGTGGATTGCATCAATGCCACTGTGGTCTCGCGAGCACAATGCTGGACCGCGCTTGGAACTCGCCGCCAGGCAGACCGCACCTTCCGAGGATGCCTGCGGCGTGGACGTGGCAAGACAGCAGCGCGAGCGATTTGTATCTTTGATTTGCGCCAGGTTGGCCAGGCACTCTTCCAGGACTCCCAGGAGCGCTTCGGCGCACGGCGCGGCAACGGCAGGCCGGGCGAGGACATGCGCTCGAGCTCGCCAGTGCGAGCGCGTCAATTGGAGGCGCAACGCGCGGCGGCGCTGGTCCACGCAGATCTAAGTTCTGGCATGGCGCGTGACTGCATTGAGATGGCGACCCTCCCCACCGTCATGTTCAGGGCGGAACTGTGCGTGCACCTCCCAGCTGTCGAGAAGGCGCTGGACAAAGCACAAGAAACTCTTGCTCGCTAGCTGCTTGGGATCTCGACCCCAGCAAAGAGGGAGGTCACCCTTCGTGAGATGGGTCGGGGGTCGCGCTGGTCAACGCAGTACCGAGCGCGGGCGGTCATGCCGTGGGCGCGCTTGACCACAGACAGCCGTTACAGCGAAGCCCCACGGGTGTGCTCCGCGGCAGCGGGGTGCCCGCGAGGCAGGTCCTTACAGCGAAGCCCACGGGTGTGCTCCGCGGCAGGTGGGTTGGGACGGCATGGGGTGCCCGCGAGGCAGGTCCGCACGCGCCGCCCTGCCAACTTTCCCTGGGGCGCACCAGGTCAGGCGAAACTGAAGCGGAGGCGGGCGCTGCAACGCGCCACTCCTGCCGACACGCGGCTGCCCCGCCTGGTGCGTCCTGGTCACGGGGGACAGAGAGGACGGGGAAGCGTTTTTTTCTCAGTCGGCGCAATGGCACGCCATTGTGGCCATGGCTGCCTCGACCGGTAGGGTCCCGCCGCGGCCTAGCGCGGCCGCGGTCGCCCCCGACCGCCCCAATGCGCCAAGATGAAAAACAAGCAATAAGAACAACAAATACAAACAAATAAGAATTGTATGAAAAACGAGAAGAAGAATAGTAATAATATGAAGAATAAGAGAATAATGAGAAAGAGGAATGGGGGATGAGGGAAAAGGACGGAGGAGGGAGGAAGGGGGATTTGGGGGGGGGCGGGGGGTGAAGGAGGGAACGGGAGGCGGAGGCGGAGGAGGGACCAGAGGGGGGAAGGGGGAGGAGGAGGAGGCGAACGAACAGAAAAACGACGACGACAGTCAGGACGGCGGCGGGCGAGGCGCGAGCGCAGCGCTCCCACCCGCCGGAGAGGTGGTGGAATACGTGCAGCGGGGCGGCTGCCAGGAGGCCCTCTGCGCCCTCGAGACGTTCCGCAAGGACGCCCTTCCTCCCCCTTCCTCCGCCGCCTACTCCGTCCTCCTCGGGCCGACGATCGTCGGAGAGAGGGGTTGCTTCCATGTCCTTCCCAGGGGTCAAGAGTGCCCAGATTCGCAGACGGCACGACCCCCGACGGCCTCATCCTTATCCTTATCCTCCGTTTTCCTTTTCTTCCCCCTGCTGGTCATTGGGAACTGGTGGCTCTGGGGTCGTCGACGCAGCCTCCCTTCCTCCTGCTCCTCCTCCTCCTCCTCTTCCTCCTCCTCCTCCTCCTCATCATCATCATCATCATCCTCAACCTCCTCAACCTTCTGAACCTCCTCCTCCTCCGCCTCCTTATCCACCGCCGACACATGATCGAGTGTTCCAGGATCGCCCGCGCTTGAGCGGGCTGCTGCGCGGCACGCGGGTGTTGAGGGAACTACTTGGCGAGTCAGAGAGATATTTTCTGCTGCCCGGGCGGGCCGCCTGCTGAGGCTGGGGACGGGGATGACTGGGGGTGTCCAAGATTTAAATCGGGCGCGTCCCTCTGCAGAAGAACTATTCGAGAATAGTAGCTCAAGTATGCGGAGCACTTTTCGTGCCCTCTTGACCGTGTATGGCTTCTGTTTGACCACTTTATGTTGTTTTTTCCCTGAATCCGCCCGTAAGAGGGCATGCCCGACCGGACCCAATCATCCAGTCCGCTTCGAGCCGTGGTGGCCAGTTGGCGTTGTTTGTTCCTGTGGTGTCGCCTGGGGGCTTCTTGGTCGCAGCGGGATCCTCCAGGGGTCGCCGCTGTGAAAAGATACGGCGTCGGATGGTCAAGGGCGTCCAAGACTCCAGGCCTCCAAAATTCTAGATGGGGTCGGAGCACATGGGGTCGGGGGAATGCAACACGCCGCGTCGCCGACGCATCGCCGATGCGGCTCGATGTAGAGCCCGACTTGCTTCACGCCGACGTCGCCGATGCATCCCCCACGTCGACGATGCATCGCCAGCGCATCGCCGATGCATCGCCGATGTACCCGGTGCGGCGCAAACCTCCGACCGCATCCACTCCGATCCCATTTAGGAGGCCTTTAAAAACGGGGGTTGATGACAAAGGGTGTCTGCTAGACTGGCACCAAGGGCAAAAGACTTGAGCCTGCCCTCGAGTCTCGATGAGACTGGGCGGGCCGCACCCTGCATTCCTCCTCCTCCTCCTCCTCCTCCTCCTCCTCCTCTTTCTCCTCCTCCTCCTCCTCCTCCTCCTTATTCTCATGGTTCGTTCCTGGTTCCTGGTTCCTGACGGCGGGAGGGAAGCTCGATCGATCGCAGCCTCCCTCCCTCCTCCCTCCTCCTCCTCCTCCTCCTCCTCCCCCTCCTTCTCCTCCTCCTCCTCCTCCTCCTCCTCCTCCTTTTTCCTCCTCCTCCTCCTCCTCCTCCTCCTCCTCCTCCTCCTCCTCCTCCTCCTCCTCCGCCTCCTCCCCATTGCTCGCCTGCCTCCCTTCGCCGCGCGGCGCGCTCCCTGAGAGGTGCTGGGCCGCCCCCCCCCCCCCATGGCGCGCGCGGCGGAGGGCCTCTTGGCATCGCTCGGACGTGTGCATTTTCCGTCGGCGAGGACCATCGATCCTTGAGGATTCGGCGAGGGGCTCGCCTTTTTCGTCGGCGAGGGGCTCGCCTTTTTCGCCAACTGGACGTTTCCGTAATTTTGTCCAAATGATCAAGGATGTTGCTCGAGGAGCATTCTTGCTCATTCGGCGAGAAATCCACGCACGAGATTGAAAAAATCACAGGGGATGGACGTCCGAGCGATGGCGAGGGGGGGGATGCGACGCTCCGGGCCTCGCTGGCGCCAGGCTCTGCCGGCGCCGCGCTGGCCTGCTGGCAGCCGGTGCTGCACGGCAGCGGGTCAAGCAGTGGCGAAACGTCCTGGCTCGCCTATAGCCCCACCAAACAATGTTCTAAGAACCTTTTGTGGTTCCCACGAAATGTTCTTAGAACATTTCTGGCTGGGACTGTCTTGTTTTAACGCATCGAGTTTCTGTTCTCAGAACATTGTTTTTTGTTCTGAAAACATTTTTGGGTTCTAAGGACATTTCGTGGTATGACTATAGGAATGCCGGGACGGTCGGTCCCAGCTCAACGGGGAGAGTTGCGCGAGTCGGGACGATCGAAATGGGTACGGAAAGAGTGGTTCATTTTGAACCAGGCTCGCTATCCGCGCCGCCGCGGACGTTGCTTAGTGAAGACACACAGCCGCCTGCGCAACAGCGGCCGCTGTGGGCTTTGGACAACATGTGTTGACGGGCAGTGTACCCATTTTTTCGGTACCAATTTCGGGCGTCCAAAGCGAGCGCGTGCCACGGCTCGCAGAGTGCCTGCTCGCAAGCGTTCAAAAAGCACACACGTTTGCCTCGATGGGATGGGTCGTATATCCCCCGCGCTAGAAGGTTCCAACCTGCTCTAGCCCGGACCACCAAAAAGAAGTCCGAGCCCCATGAGACAGGACCGAAGCCGGAGGCTGTTTTCACGTGTCGGGCCTTGGGAGGCGATACTCGTTCGACACGGTTTCGACACTGTTCGGGGTGCTCGAAATCGTTTCCGGGATTACGGGGCGTGGAAACGACCACAGCCACTGCTTTTCTTTTGTTGCCGCTTTCCAGCCCGCAGAAACAAAGCAGTGGTTGTGGTCATGTTCGTTGAGCTTGGCATCAGGGAAATGACCACGACCACTGCTTCTTTTTCGGCCGGCTGGAAGGCGGCGCAAACAAGAAGCAGTGGCTGTGGTCATTTTCCCGTCCCGCAGGAATGTGGTCCTTGAGCACGACGGGAGCAGCAGAACACCCCCCGGCGGCGGACCCAGGCCGTCTTGCGAGCAACGACCCGGCGAGGCGCGGAGCGCGCTTGCCTGCGATTCCGTCGGGCCTGCCCCTCTACAGGGGGAGCAGTCAAAACATAGTCAAAACAACAGTCTGGGGACTCTTTTTTTGTATGTTTTGCCATTTGGGGTGTATCTTTCGAGCATTTTTTTGGTGTTCGTCGAACATCCCCCTGTATGGGGGACACGCCCGACGTAAGCCTATACGAGGAGGGCGAAAGGAGGGCGAAAGGAGGTTTTGCCATTTGGGGTGTATCTTTCGAGCATGTGTCGTTTTTCGTCGAACATCCCCCTGCATGGGGGACACGCCCGACCTAAGGCCTATACGAGGCGGGCGAAAGGGAGGAGGGGGCGCGGGGCGGGCGGACGCCGCGGCGCGCGCGCAGGGCGGGGGCAGGGCGGGGGCAGGGCGGGGGCAGGGCGCCAATGTGCACGTTTGTTACTGCTGCACTGCAGGGTTCGGGTTCGTGTCCGGGTTTTTAGGGGTGCCTTGCAGGCTTTTTTGGGGCTCGTGTCCGGGTTGGATTCTGGGAGTGTTGCGGCGCAGTATTTTCTGCACGCACGACATGGGTACGGAAATAATGGGTACAATGCCCAACAGCGGATCTTGTTCATTTTGAACGGGGCCCGCTGTCCACGCCGCCGCGGCCTGTGTCCGGGTTAAAGGGGTGTCTTGCAGGCTTTTGGGGCCTGTGTCCGGGTTTGATTCTGGGAGTGTTGCGGTGCAGTGCTCCAGATCTCGTAATAAGAGGGAGGGGGGTCTGGACCCTCCAAGACAGGCCATTTCAGACCTCCCCCGTGGGAGAGCCCTCCAAAACATCGTCCCCAGAGCCCCCAGGCCCTCCAAGATGGCCTGGAAGAGACCCCCCCCCGAAATGAGACCCCCCTCCCTTTATTACGAAATCTGGAGTATTTTGTTTGTGCCGCCGTTTGGAGAAATGGGTCTCGAGGGATGTTGGGTGTCCGGGTCTATAGCTGTGTCCGGGTCTGCGGGGCCCTGAGGCTTCGGGGTCACCGCGCGGTTCTCGGCGGCTCGGGTCGTTCTCTCCGAGGGCGTCTCGGGCGGCAGGGGCCTCCGGGGCCCCAAGGCTCAGGAGCGAAAGAAGGACGTACACGTACATGAATCCACGCTGTTTTCGAGATTTCGCATTCGGCGAATATTCGTATCACGCGGCCGGTCTCGCGGGTCAAGGGGCCGTGTTCATGTACATAGCTGGGCGCGTACGTCCTTTGTGGGCTCCCTAAAGACCCGTGCGGTGACGGACCGTGCGGTGGGGTCCTGGGGGACGGCGAGGGCACCGCGCGTGTCTGTCGCCGCAGCGCGTCGGGGCTCCAGCCCGGGGCAGGCGCAAAGGCCGAGCGTTAAGTCGGGCCTGTCCCCCCACAGGGGGATTTTTTTTACGAAAATGATTAAACAATAAGCAAAAAATAGTACAAGACTAGTCTGGGGACTATTTTTGCAGTATGTTTGACCTTTTTGGAGCAATTTGGGGGGTATGTTTTTATTTTTTCGTCGAAAGTCCCCCTGTGGGGGGACACGCCCGACATGACCCGAGCGGGTGGCAGCAGGCAGGGGGCAGGGGATCCGGCAGAGGAGGGCGTGCGCGTGCAGTGGGCGCCCGTCGCCAAGAAGCACCACCCCGCCTGCCTCTTGGGAGGCAGGGCGCGTTTCGATGCCTCCGATGCGGCGTCCGATGTGGGTCCCGATCTCTCAACTTGGGGGCCTACTAATACTAGGATGCCGATTTCCTCCGATGCGACTTTTCCCGACTCGGCTGCCGACTTCCGCCGATCCGCTTCGTGTCCAGTTGTTTCTGTGTCCCTGGCCCCTTCAGCTACCCCAGCATACTGAATCTATGTGTGCGCCGAAGCGAGGGGGAAGACGATCATCCAGAATAGATTGGAACAGATAGGGGGTCCTGGGACTCGTGTCTATTTATTTCTGTGCCCCTGGGTACCAACTAAGTCACCCCAACCTACTACCACCCTCGTCAAAATTAACCTCAAAAATGTCTGACGTGGTGGAACTGCTTGTCGGAAGATCTGGGGCCGAGTGTCGATGAGTGCGGGGTACTTGCATGCGCCGCCCCCCCAATGTCGGTCGACGTTAAGCTTTCGAGTAAGCTTCGGTCAGACTATCTTTGCCTTCGCCCCGACATTGAAGGGGCGGCGTGTCGACATTGAGGGGCGCGCCGAAATCGAAATGACGTGCCAGCAACTGTTGAGGTTAATTTTGACGAGGGTAATAGGATGCCGATTTCCTCCGATGCGACTTTTCCCGACTCGGCTGCCGATTTCCGCCGATCCGATTCGTTGCGCTCGCCGATTCCATTTGTCGAGTCGATTCTGGGCGCTCCTACCAGGGTGCCCTGGGCTTCTTGGGCTTCGACGGTCTTGCTATGGAAGGCGTGGCGTTCCCGCACTCACAGTCGATGGGCGTCCCAGGGTCTCAGGGTTGAGAGTTTCTTGTGGAAGGTTTTATGTGGCCGGGCTCCCACTGGACATGAAGCCACGCTGGTTTCGAAAGTGCGCCTTGCGCCAACGTTTCCGTCACGAGGCTGGTCTCGCGGATTGGGGGACCGTGTTCAATGTACGTGGCTGGCCGCGTACGTCCTTCGTGGGCTCCCCAGGGGAGGAGGAGGCTGAGGCGAGGATCTGGGAACCGTTACCGAGGCCTCCAGCCGTCTTGCACACTGGTTGGGGCGTCCGCGGGCGTCGTCGTCGACACGGCCGGATCCGCCGCGACATGCTGGCCAGCAGCCCAGCACAGGTCTCGGAGGCGGGTGTTGAGGGGCCGAAAGGGGGCCGAGGCGCAGAAGAAGCGTCCAAGACTGATATGTGCTCAGTGCTCGCTTAAGTCGAGCGAGGCCAGTTGCAGCCGTAACCCACATTTGAAGTTGGAGTGTTCTTACCACTCTACCCTTGCATGCGCGCCTACCCAACACATCCCCCGCCTGTGCTGTCTGCAAGATGTAGCCCGCTATGATGTACCAGGGTCTTGCGCGCTTGCCCTCCTCATTCTTAACGCTTCGCGTATCCCCCCCCCCACCAGACCACCCAGGAACGGTGCCCATGGGAGCTGCCCCGATCGGGGGAGCGTGGCAGCATCGGGATATTTTGGGGAGCTTCCGAAGGCTAGCCGAGGCCTCGTGGATGTCTGTCGAAGTCTCTTGGGATGTCCGTAGGGGGGCACCTTGAAGATTTGTTGGGGAGTCTTGGTGGCCTGTTGGTGGCTCTTGGGGGCCCCTTGGGGGGCACGGCAAGGTGTTTAGGGGCGTGTTGGGCGCCCCCCAGAAGCGGAGATCCAAGAATAGCCTCCAGCGCGATTATTCTACACAACAACAGCAGCAACAACAACATCAACAACAGCAGCAACAGCAACAGCAACAACAACAACAAAAGCATTCACAACAGCACCACCACCACCAACAACAACAGCAAGCACAACAACAGCAGCAACAACAACAGCAACAGTAACAACACCAACAACAACACTATCACTAACACTAACACTAACACTCGCACTAACACTAACACTAACACCAACACCACCACCAACAACAACACTGATAACAGCAATAACAACAACAACAACAACAACAACAACAATAACAACATGTGAGCCTCCTTCATCTGTCGTTGCCTTTTCTCCTCTCCTCCTCCTCCTCCTCCTTCTCCTCCTCCTCCTCCTCCTCCGCCCTCCATCTCCTCCTCATCCTCCTCATCCTCCTCCGCCCTCCGCCCTCCGCCCTCTGCCCTCCTCCTCCTCCTCCTCCTCCTCCTCCTCCTCCATCTTCTCCTCATCCTCTTCCTCTTTCTCCTCCGCCCTACGTCCTACGCCCTTCCTCCTCCTCCTCCTCCTCCCTCCTCCTCCTCCTCCTCCTCCTCCTCCTCCCCTCCTCCTCCTCCTCCTCCTCCTCTTTCTCCTCCGCCCTGCGCCCTCCGCCCTCCGCCCTCCTCTTCCTCCTCCTCCTCCTTCCCCTCCTCCCCCTCCTCCTCCTCCTCCTCCTCCTCCTCCTCCTCCTCATCCTCCTCCCTCCTCCTCCTCCTCCTCCCCCTCCTCCTCCCCCTCCTCCTCCTCCTTCTCGTCCTCCTCTTCCTCCTCCTCCGCCCCAACGCAGGACGAGAGCGAGGAGGAGCCCCCCGCGAAGAGGGCCAAGGGCGCGGCCTCGGAGGGCCCGTGGGCCCACGTGCCGGCGGCAGGCCCGCCGCGCGCGCTTCTCTGGCGGGGGGGCGACGCCCCGTCGTCGCCGCCGCCGCCCTCCTCGCCGCCGTCGGAAGCCTCCTGGAGGCCCACGATCGGGGGAGAAAAAGATACGGATACGTGTTGTCCCCCTTCGTTTTCGGCCTTTCCTGGTCCTCCTGGGGAATCCTCGTTGTCACCGCTGGATTCGCTTCGAAATTCTGGTCAGAACGCACCCCAAGAGAGGTCTGGGGACAACACGTATCCGTATCTTTCCGCCCCCCAACACGACTCTCAGGCAGTGGCGAAGCGTCCCGGCTCACTTGTAGCCCCACCAAGCCATAAGAACCTTGTTCGTGGTGCCCACGACAAGTTCTTAGAGCATTTCTGGCGGAGGTTGTCTTGTCCTAACACGTCGGGATTCTGTTCTGAGAACACTGTTTTGGCTTTTAGAACACTGCTGGGTTCTAAGAACACTTCGTGGTATGACTATAGGAATGCCGGGACGGTCGGTCCCTGCTCAAGAGGAGGACAAGGCACCCACGCCGCTACCCTTTCCTCGTGCTCCCCTTTTTGGGCCTCCTCGGAGGCTCTCGTCGCCGCCGCTGGGTTCGCCTCGGGAGCCTGGTCAGAACGAGCCCAGGGAGAGGTCTGGGGAGTGGCCGTATCGGTACCTGTTGGTTTCCCCAACGACGATCTTACACATATATATATATATATATATATATATATATAGGTGAAGCGTTCTAGAAAGAGCCTCGCCTTCCAGGATCGAAGGAGTTGCCATCTCTTCTGCGGCGGAAGGTCGGCGGAAGTAAAACGAGGCCGCCTTCGACGGCAGAAGTTCGGCGGAAGGCGGCGGACGTAAACAAATGCGCCCCCAAGAGATGAGCATGTGTTTGGGTTCAGGGTTTCTGCAATCGGACAGACATGGCCGCCGCCTTCTAAGAAGCACGGGCGTTTCAAGGAAGCCATCCTCTTCCCCGTACCCTCCTTCTGCGCGTGACTGAGATGAGGCCGACGCAGAAGACGAGCGCGGGGACGGACACACCATCCACCCGCCCGCAGCCTGCGCAAGTGGTCCCGCCCACGACGGCGGCGGCGGCGGCGGCCACGACGACCACGTCCGCGGCCCAGGCCTCTCCGGCGCCGCGTTGCTTCCGCAGCGTGGGCCCCGCAGGCCTGGGCCCGCTCCTCTCGGGCCGGCCGAAAGGGGGGGATTGGGAAAGGGGGGGGTACGAAATTTGCTGCATGCAGCTGGTTTCGGCCTCACCGAGGGGCCCATTCCTCGATACATCGCCGCCTTCGGCGCCTGGAGGCGCCGGGAAAATCAGCTACGTGAGCTGATTCTCAAACCCCCCCTTTGCTATCCCCCCCTTTTGCCCGACCCGATCCTCGGGGCCGAGGGCTCCTCCCTGGAGGCCGGCTCCCGGCAGCCCGCGGGAGCCCCGCGAGGACCCCTCCCGCGGGCCGAGGGCGGCGGGGGGCCTCCGCGTCGAGGTGGGGCCAGCCGTGGAGCCTCCTGGAGGCCCAGGGAGGACGAGGACGAGGACGAGGACGAGGACGAGGAGGACGAGGACGAGGACGAGGACGAGGACGAGGACGAGGACGAGGACGACGACGACGACGACGACGACGACGACGACGACGACGACGGCGGCGGCGAGGCGACTGCCGGGTGCGCCGCCGCTTATCATTGGCCGACGGGCGCCGGGGCGCTGGGCCGCTTGGGCGCGACGGTTTTCCTCGCGGGCTCTGGACGCCCGGAGTGGAGAAGCGCACGAGCAGAAAATGTGCACCATGCCCAAAATACACAGATGTTGTCCAGAACCGACGGCGGCCGCTCTGGGGCGGGCGGCCTCCTCGTGTCTCCAGTGGACAACGACCGCGGCGACGCCGACGGCGAACCCTGTTCAGAATTTACAGGAGCTGCCGTTGGACTTCATACCCATGTTTCCCAACCATCCTGTGGTGTTGGGTCCTCATTTTGAACAGACAGCGCCCCGCGTCCCACCTCTCCTCTCCTCCTCGCAGTTCTCATCCCCCTCCTCCCTGCTCCCTCCGCAGTTCGCAAGCGCCTCCCCCGCCCAGTAAAGCGTTTCGTGGCCCCAGAGGGAGCTCCACCGAAGGGCCCAGTGGCGCAGTCCGCATGCAGTCCCTGCGCCCATTGCAGCGCTTCGTGGCCCCAGAGGGAGCTCCACCGACGACCCCAGTGGCGAAGTCCGCATACGTTTCCTGCGCCCGTTACACCGTTTCGTGGCCCCAGAGGGAGCTCCACCGAATGTCCTAGTGGCGCAGTCCGCATGCGGTTCCCCCGCCCGGTGAAGCGGTTCGTGGCCCCGTAGGGAGCTCCACCGAAGGTCCCAGTGGCGCAGTCCGCATGCGCTTCCTGCGTCCAGTACAGCGCTTCGTGGCCCCAGAGGGAGCTCCACCGACGACCCCAGTGGCGAAGTCCGCATACGTTTCCTGCGCCCAGTACACCGTTTCGTGGCCCCAGAGGGAGCTCCACCGAAGGTCCTAGTGGCGCAGTCCGCATGCGGTTCCCCCGCCCAGTGAAGCGGTTCGTGGCCCCGTAGGGAGCTCCACCGAAGGTCCCGATGGCGCAGTCCGCACGCAGTTCCTGCGCCCAGTGCAGAGTTCCGTGGCCCCGTAGGGAACTCCACTGAAGGTCCCAGTGGCGCAGTCCGCATGCGTTGCCTGCGCCCAGTACAGCGCTTCGTGGCCCCAGAGGGAGCTCCGAAAGTCCCAGTGGTGCAGTCCGCATGCGGTTCCCCTGCCCAGTACAGCGTTTCGTGGCCCGGGAGGGAGCTCCACCGAAGGTCCCAGTGGCGCAGTCCGTATGCGGCTCCTGCGCCCAGTACAGCGCTGCCCCAGAGGGAGCTCCACCGAAGGAAGGTCCCAGTGGCGCAGTTCGCATGCAGTTTCCCCGCCCAGTACAGCGTTTCGTGGCCCCAGAGGGAGCTCCACCGAAGGTCCCAGTGGCGCAGTAGTCCGCATGCGGTTCCCCCGCAAAGAACAACGTTTCGTGGCCCCGTAGGGAGCTCCGCCGAAGGTCTCAATGGCGCAGTCCGCACGCAGTTCCTGCGCCCAGTACAGCGTTTCGTGGCCCCGTAGGGAGCTCCACCGAAGGTCCCAGTGGCGCAGTCCGTATGCGGCTCCTGCGCCCAGTACAGCGTTTCGTTGCCCCAGACGGATACCCACAATTGCTGTACTTGTTGCTGCATATTGTTGGGTTCTTCGCCAGGCGATTTTCCATAACCATTTCGATCGTCCCGATCCCCATAATCGTCTCAGAGGCAAGCTTCCCTGCGATGTTCAGGCGTTCTCGTCGGCTCCCGGCGGTTTCCCAGCCCCGGGGCGCTCTCCAGCAGCTGCGCCTCGCCGAGAGGCGTCCCGGGGGGGGGGGGCCCTGGAGCGTGCCGAGCGGCCGCTGGAGACTCGCGCGACGACCCGAGAGCCGGGCGGCGAAGATCACTTTGGGGGATCGGCGCAGGCGGGGGCGCGTCGCGTGCGTCGCCGACTCGGGCCTCTTGGCCCGGCCCGCTGGTGGCAGACGGCGCGGGGACGTTCGGCACCCCGAAGACCTCCACCGTTTGGGCGCGCATTCGCGGGGGGCGCTCCGTGGCAGACAGGGGGCCCTGCAGGGCCCCCATCAAAAGGGCCTCGAGGGTCCGAAAAGGATGCCTTTCCTCCCCCCCCCCCATGTATGCACGGAGGATGAGGAGCCCCCTATCCCTAATAACACGAGGAAGACGTACCCTCACTGGGGCCCCCGTCCTTGCATGACGTAGCGATGATAAGCCTGGGCGGTTTGGTTCGATGCATCTGCAGAGGAGGCCCCCATGTCCCTGATGTTCTCTATGCCCCTCCTGATTCAGGTCCCCTCCCACAGGGTTGGGGGTCCTGTTGCTGCGAGGCACTCGTCGCCCCCCATCAGTTCGTGCCCAAACCACGCCCTCCGTCCCTCACCGGGCGGTCCGTCGCTGCACCGCCCAGGGGCCCCGCAGGCCCCAGTCGCCGGAGGCACCCCTACACGCCGCTCGTTGAGAGAAGGTATTCTTGGACTCACAGGTCACAATCTGTTTCAAGCGCCTTCCTACCTCAAGGGGCGGTATGCTTTTGCTGTGTGCTGGTGTTCTCCGGGAGCGCCTGAGCCTCGATCTACGTTATCCGCCTTCGCATTTCCCGTTCTTACCTGCAGTGAAGACCCATGCCAAGAAACACCCTGCTTGCCTCCAGGGTGCCCTAGGTTTCTTCGGTTTCGATGGTTTTGCTGTGGAAGGCGTGACTTTCCCACGCCAGAAATCCATGGACGCCCTGGGGTCTCAGGGTTGGGTTTCTCGTGGAAGGTTTCTTGTGGACTGGCCCCCACTGTATCCGCCTCTCTATTTCATGCTCTTGCCCACCGCTTCCGACCGACGTGTAATGGGAGAGAGCGGCACAGGGTCCCAGAGCCGGGCGGTCACCCGCCTCCTGGGCCCTTCCTCGGGCATCGGAGGGCTCGCTTGGGTGGGTCTTCGGGCGTTCCAAAAACCAAGTGCAGTGGAGACCCATCCCAAGAAACACCCTGCTTGCCTCCAGGGTGCCCTGGTTTTCTTGGGTCTCGACGGCTTGCTGTGGAGAGCATGATGTTCCACACCAAAAAACAATGGACGTCCTGGGGTCTCAGGGTTGGGTTTGTTGTGGAAGGTTTCTTGTGGACTGGCCTCCACTGTAGCCGAGCATACGACATGTTAGCGAAGACTTTGTGGATTCGGTTTGGGTGGGTTTGATTTCAGGAGGTCCACGGGAGAAACGCCAGAAGCGTCCAAGAATTCTGGCAAGTTGGTGGCCTCGGCACTTCAGAATCCTAGAATCCCTCCAACATTCCCATCTGAAAAACCATTGGAGCACTCACTACGTCCTGGAGGCACGGTGCTGGATAGAAAGAGACAGACAGAGAGAGAAAGAGAGAGAGAGAGAGAGAGACTTGTCAGGAAGCGCGCGCACGTATCCCACCCCGTCTCCAAGATTGGAGGGTGCCGATGTGTGCCCCAGCCAACCCAGCACCCGCCTCGTCTGCGCCCGAGGGAGCGCTTCCTCGCCTCCACCCCCACGGGGCCCCCATTCAGAGAGTGGAGCCTGCACGCATCGGCGAGAGCCGCTCTCCGCGAGTGGATGGTCGGGGACCCGCTCAACGACTGAAGTGCCGCCTCGCAGCGCGACCGGGGGCTGCCCGTGCGCGGGAGTCTCGCTCAGCGACTGGTTGGGAGCCTTGCTCCGCACTGGGCTCCCGGCAAGGGGGTCGGGCCTTTCTCAGGGAGCCAGAGACTGGGTAACAGCAGACGGGGTAACAGGAAACGGCCGGTTCGAGGCATCAAATGGCCCTTTTGTTGCAGTGCAGCTTCTTTTTGTTTTCTCGTTCGATGCAGCACCTTCCACATGCTGGCTGCGTTGCACATTTTCGGCTGCTGCACTGCAACTTTTTGCGTTGGGCCCCCTGTTACCCTGTCTGTGGGGCTTGTTTGCAGATTTGTTTCGCAATTAGTTGCCACCAAATTGCAGTGCAGTTTTTTTGGCGTTGCAGAAACATGCAGTGCATGCTTTGTTCTGGTCGTTGCAGTTGTTCTTCCTGGATCCCATGGTGGGTATGTTACCCCGTTTAGGCGTTACCAGGTTTAGTGTTCCCTGACTTTCGGCATCGGGGAATGAGGGTTGAAGGAAGGGAGATCTGTGGGCCCCGAAGATGCACGAAAGGTGCACCTTGCTTGCCCCCCCTTGCCCCTCGTGTATCGCCCCCCATCAATCAGTCGGCGGGGGGGCGAGCGAGGGGGGGAAATGAGAAGGAGACGGCCTTCTCAGAAGGTGGCGGGACTTCTCAGAAGCACGCGTGCCTTCTGATAAGTTTGCTGTGCCTTCGGGGAAGGTTCAGACAACTGAAGGCCAGGGCTGTCTTCTCAGAAGGCCAGGGGACTTCAAGGCCTTCTGAGGAGTCCGTTCCCTTCGCACCTCCTCCTCCTCCTCCTCCTTTTCTTCCCCCTCCTCCTCCTCCTCCTCCTCCTCATCATCATCATCATCATCATCAGTAATTATCATCATCCTCCTCCTCCTCCTCATCATCATCATCATCATCATCATCATCATCATCATCATCTCATCATCATCATCATCATCATCATCATCATCATCATCATCATCATCATCATCATCATCATCATCATCATCATCATCCCCCTCCTCCTCCTCCTCCTCCTCCTCCCCCTCCTCCTCCTCCTCCTCCTCCTTCCCCTCCTCCTCCTCCTCCTCCTCCTCCTCCTCCTTCAAGGCCTTCTGAGGAGTCCTTCCCCTTCGCACCTCCTCCCCGGGCGTGCCGCCGAGTCCGGCAAGGCCCGAGGGGGCTCGGGGACAGGCAGCCTTGCCACACGGCGAGGTTCGCCCCCCAGAGGAGGAGGAGGAGGAGCAGGAGGAGGAGGAGGAGGAGGAGGAGGAGGGAGGAGAGGAGGAGGATGGAGGAGGAGGAGAGGGAGGGATAGGAGGAGGAGGAGGAGGAGGAGGAGGAGGACGAGGGGGAGGAGAGGAGGAGAAGGGAGGGGGAGGAGGAGAGGGAGGGAGGGAGGAGGAGGGGAGGAGGAGAGGAGGAGGAGGAGGAGGAGGGGGAGGAGGGGAGGGGGGAGGGGGGGAGGGATCACACGAGGAGGAGGATGAGCAGGGAGGAAGAGCAGAAGGAAGAAACGAGCCACCCGAGACCTCCTGCTGGCCGTCGGCGAGGGCATCGTCGCCTTCACCACCGAGGGCCTCGTGGCGGTGCTGCAGGACTGCTGTTTGGTGCCCGCCTCCCCTTTTCCCTGTGTTCTTCCGCTCGATTCGGCAGCGAGACCAAGCGTCGTTAACTTCAGAAGGTTTATAGTTGTAGACTCCCCTCTTTCTCTCGACGGTGAATGTGACTGGTCCTAAAACCTCTCTCGGCGCGCGCGGCGACATGGGATTCGTTTCCCTCTATTTTTGGGCGGCTGGATACTGTTGCGGGTAGTTCTCCAGCGGAATCATCCATTGTGGGCGGCTGGATATTGTTGGGGGTAGTTCTCCAGCGGAATCATCCATTGTGGGCGACACTGCACGCGGGAGGATGTGTGAGCATCTTCTCATGATGACTGCGAGAGGAATTGCTTCGTTTTGATTCGCGAGTTTGCTCGAAATCGCCTGCCTGGCACCGCTGGCAGACCTCCTGCGAGCCTTTGCCTCGTGCGAGCCTGCGTGAGGCACCTTGAGGGCACCAGCTGCTGTGAGACGGCGCCACTTGAGCCTTCGGCACCAGCGCCTGCGAGAAAAAATGGGGAACAGCTAAGCCCTCTGAGGAGGAGGCTTCCGAGGATGGAGTTTCCGAGGGTGTGATTTCCCAAGGCTTCGTTCGGCCGGAGCGTCAACGATCCTTCCAAGGATCGAGGTTTTGCGAGTGGAGTTTCTGCAGGCCCTCGTGTGGCTTGAGTTTCAACCATATTTTCGAGGATGGAGCTTCTGCGGGTGGAATTTCTGCGGGCTTTGTGGGGCCTGATAAACTAGTAGTCTTCGTAAACTATTGCAATCGTAGTCGTAGCTGCTGGCGGGGCCGCGGGGGTAAAATAAACAGTTTCCTTCATTGGTGGAGCGCCAATCCATGAATGCGGCTTTCGCCTTATTGGGGGGGCCGAAAGACCTTTAGAGGCTAGTGAGTGAGTGATTGAGTGAATGAGGACGAGGATGAGGACGAGGAGGAGGACGATGAGGACGAGTTACCGTCATCCTGCAGATTCTAGTTTGATCCCCCCCGCAGCGGCAAGTGCAGTTGAGTGTCGGCGATGGCGGCAGCCCACCAGGGATCCCCATGCCACGAGCCCCGAGGAGGACGAGGGCGGGGGAAGGGGGAGGGGGAGGGGCAGGGGATGACACGGGACGGCGAGGAGGGACGAGCGGCGATGTGCAGGAGGGGGGAAGAAGAGAGAAGACAGCAGGAGGCGCAGCGCCTGCCGCTGGAAGCGGAGGAGCCCGCAGCCCCCCTCAGGAGGCCGAGCCCACCCCGCCGCCCGCCGGTAGGGCCGAGTTCGTGGTCGCGCCCCCCGCCGCCGCCGGCGCCAGGCCGGCACCCGCCGCTGGCCGCCGCCGCCGCGCTCGTCGTGGTCGTCGTCGTGGTCGTCGTGGTCATCGTCGTCGTGGTCGTCGTCGTGGTCGTCGTCGTCGTCGTCGTGGTCGTCGTCGTGGTCGCTGTCGTCGTCGTGTTCGTCGTCGTCGTCGTCGGCGTCGTCGCCGTCGTCGTCGTCGGCGTCGTCGCCGTCGCCGGCGTCGGCGTCGTCGTGGTCGCCCTGGCGGGCGCCGCCCAAAGGGCGCCGCGGGCGGCGTCGAGCGTCGAGCGAGGGTGGGCGCCCGCGGAGCCGCGGGCGCCCGGGCCTCCGGCGGGGCTGGCTTTTGTCAGCCGCCCCGTGATGTTGGGTCTCCTCCTCCTCCTCCTCCTCCTCCTCCTCCCTCCTCCTCCTCCTCCTCCTCCCCTCCTCTCCTCCTCCTCCTCCTCCTCCTCCTCCTCCTCCTCCTCCTCCTCCTCCTCCTCCTCCTCCTCCTCCTCCTCCTCCTCCTCCTCCTCATCTCTCCTCCTCCTCCTCCCTGTGGTGTTTTGGGCCCTCGTTTTGACAGGAGGGAAAACAACACACAGACACAAGGAATCGTCGATCCCCCCGAAAATAGGGGGAAATATGAGCAGTGGGGGGGAAGACAGACACCCAGAAAATATGGGAAAGTATGGGGGATCCTTTCATTTGTGTGTATTTATTTGTGTGTCCCAGGGCCCCTTCAGTTTTGAAAGGACAGCGCCCCGCGTCTCTCTCAAGCAGTGGCGAAGCGTCCCGGCTCGCCTATAGCCCCACCAAACAATGTTCTGAGAACCTTTTGTGGTTTCCAGGAAATGTTCCTATAACATTTCTAACACATCGGGTTTATGTTCTAAGAACCTTGTTTTTGTTCTTAGAACATTTCTGGGCTCTAAGAACATTTCGTGGTATGGCTATAGGAATGCCGGGACGGTCGGTCCCTGCTCAAGTGCTGTCGGGTCCTCGTTTTGAAAGGACAGCTCCCAGCGTAGGTCGCCGCACGGTTTTGGGACTCGGGTCGTTCTCCGAGGACGTCTCGGGCCCCAGAACCGTGCGTGGACGGACCGTGCGGTGAGGTCTTGGGGGATTTCGAGGTCACCGCACGGTCTGTCGGGAGTCCAAAGTCTCTTCCTCTCCTCCCGCTGCCCAACAACCGGCATAAGCATAAACATTTGGCGCTCCGCGCGGATTTCTTGGATCGGCGCTTGGGCCCCCTGGCGGCACCTCCGGCGCCGCCCCTGGCGCGCTCCGCGCGACTGGGAAGGGGGGGGGTCCAGAGCGGATGCAAAACATCCGCGCGGAGAGCCAAAAGTTAATGGTCATGGCGTGTTTGTTTCTTCTATCCTCCCGCTGCCCCCTGCTATCACCCCCATGCTCCTCTTCCTCCTCTTCGTCGTTGTTGTCGTCGCGGTCGTCGTCGTCGTAGCCATCATCATCATCATCATCATCATCATCATCATCATCATCATCATCATCATCATGATCATCATCATCATCATCATCGTCATCGTCATCGTCATCGTCATCATCATCAGCATCAGCATCAGCATCAGCATCATCATCATCACCATCATCATCATCATCATCATCATCATCAGTATCATCATCATCATCATCATCATCATCATCATCATCATCATCTTAATCTTCATCTTCATCTTCATCATCATCATCATCATCGTCAGCATCATCATCATGATCCTCATCCTCATGATCATAGTCATTATCATCATCATCACCATCATCATCACCATCATCAGCAGCATCATCAGCATCAGCATCAGCATCAGCATCATCATCAGCAGCATCATCATTAGCAGCATCAGCATCAGCATCATCATCACCAGCAGCAGCAGCAGTATCAGCGTTGTCGTCATCAGCATCATCATAATCATCATCATCATCAGTATTATCATCGTCGTCATCGTCATCAGCAGCATCATCATTATCAGCATCGCCGTCATCAGCAGCAGCATCATCATTATCAGCATCGCCGTCATCATCACCATCACCACCATCCTGTGGCTTGGGGCCTTCGTTTTGAAGAGGTAGCGCCCCGCGTCCTTTCGGCTCCTTCCTCCTTCCTCCCCTCGTTTTCCGCCTCCTCCTGCTCGATGAGAGTTCAGCCTGCGCCGCCCGGGTCGGACCCCCCCCCCGCGCGTCGTGGCCCCAGGAGGAGCTCCGCCGAGGGCCCCGGCGGCAGCGTTCGCACGGGCGGCCCCGCGCCCCATTCGGCATATTATTTCTCACGCGCGCCGTGGCCCCACAGGGCGCTGCACCGAAGGCCCCAGTGGCAGCGTTCGCACGACGGCCCCGCGCCCCATTCGGCATTACCCCTCACACGCGTCGTGGCCCCACAGGGCCATTGGGAGATCCACCGAGAGCGACACCTGCAGCAGCGACGTTCACAACTGCATGTGGTCGGGCCCTTCGACGGGATGAATGTTGTTCCAGGCCCGGCGCCTCTTCTGCTGCTTGGGCCTTCATGGGGAGTCTTG